CTACCTATGTCTAGTTTCATAATTATTGGCACAAATGAAAAGAGACCATCAATGTTGTACAAACTGTACATGTACATGTTTGTAGATGTTTATGAAATGAAAATAGGAATTAGGTATTGGGGCTCTCGTAAGATGTTTCTCTTGAACTCTCAAATGCACATGTACATGTACATTGAGGCCTGTGTCTAGTTTGCAGGCACAACCTTTGTCAGTCGCTGTACATACATGTAACAGTGTTTGCGCTGTGAGACTGTTCTGACATACTGCATATGCTCTGGACAAGGCAGCTTGAGACTGACAGAGCTAGGCTCTTCTCAAAGCTTTAGGAATGGTGGTAAAGTGTCAAATTAGAGTCTGCGCATGTAGACTATCACAAACCCTTGTCATTCACAATGCTCACAAGAGGGTCTGAGCTAGGAGACTATACAGAGACTGCAGTCGGTGGGCCTTGATTAGGGTCTGCGCTTTCACTCCTTTCAGACTAGCTTGAGTCCGTCTGTCATTCTTTGGTAAAGGAAAAGGAGTGTGTTACCACTAAAACCCCTATATGCAATTGAATTCAATAACGACTTCTGTAAGTGTTAAACAAAACAAAAATATATTTGGAAGGATAAAGAGATATGTAAAGGAGGATGGAGATGAATGAAAAGTGAAACTGTTATAAGCTCTACAAATGATCATGGGTGAGGTAATTAAAGGTTGAAAGTAAGAGGTGTTGATTAATGTCATCCAGTCTTCCTGTGAATTTCATAGTCTGCCTCTGCAAGCTTTGTTCTTAATATAATTAAAGCCCTAAATTCAATTCAATTCAATTTGATTTTTCAATTCATATTTATTTCATTTCCAACAGAAAGATAAACAAAGATATTACATTTTTTTTCACACATAATTCATTTTTTCTGGTAACTATACAAATACACTTTGCACATAATAAAATTATTAAATGAAATGAAGAAGAGAAAGAGAGACTATTACATGTACACATGTGAGTCAAAGTGGATAGCTGATTACTTTTTTGAAGTATGTTTTTAATTTTCACACTGATGAAACTCAATTCATTAACACTTTTTCCCCATTTAGAAATATTAGTAATACCCACTCCAAACTCCAGTTGCTATATCTGCTTGAGGTGTAATGGTTCCAAATAACCTCCTCCCCACCCTAAAAATTAAAAATGCCCCGATAACTGGCATTAACAGCTAGTGTGATGGTTTTTTTTTTTTTGTGGGGGGGGGGGGTGAAGAATATATGAATGATAAATGTGTGTTGAATAATTATTATGGAAATAAGGTATGGTTTTTTGTAGTGATGAAAACATACAGTGTACACTGTATGCAGCATGATAGACCTATTTATAAGTTTTAGTTTCATTTGACTGGAATGTTTAGAATAAGTTAGTTTAAAAAAAAAATATTATTGATATTGAATTTATTGTCTGAAATATGGAAGTTTGTTAAAATTGGGATGAAGTGGCAGGGTAAAAAAACTGATAATTTGACAAAATATAGATTTGAAAAGAAAATCGAAAAGAATTTAAGCAAAGAAGGAAAAAAGTAGGACTGGGGTACATAAATAAATAGCAATATTCATGATTGTGAGTGAATACGGTAGAAAGAAAGAGAGAAATGGGGGGTGGGGGAGGGGGGGGGGGGGTACATGTATGTACCGGTAGTCTTTGTGCATGTTGGGGAAATGCAAATGATTCAGGCTCAGAAGCCGAGGTGCCTGGATTTGGAGGGGTCTGCGTATGACACTGAGACTAGCCAAGTAAGTCAACGATCTACGCTGGTGACTTTTTGATCGAGATCATATTCACCGGCATGTGACCGGGAAATATGCTTAGTCTTGAATTACTCAGTATTTATACTGCATCAGGGGGCAAGGAGGGGCAAAGATCCAATCCAGTCGCTTATTAGCACTTGGGACTTGGGTGAACAGTGGGCAAACTTGTTTGTGACTTAGGAGTGTAGACCAAACCTTTTAGGATGTTAACGTGTCAGCCGTAGGATTTTATTGACTATTTCCCATCGCTCATCTTACATTGATCTATTGGAGATACATGTACGTGTTGCTTATTGGTAAGTTTTATCATTCAAATTTCAAAATAGCTTTATCATAATCAAAATCATAAAAGTTGGTCTTTAGTTTAACAATTGTTCTGACTTTTTCTAAATATTGATTTTAGACATTTTTGGTATTTTTGAAATATTAGATTGTTGAATAAATCTATTTTCATATGAAGATTACCAAGAAATATAGTTGGATTGACAGTTTACAATTTGGATTAAAGTTTATAGAGGTGTATGTTGTTTAATTCCAATACTTGTAACTTTTGAAGACAATTTAGACATATGTCTCTTAGTTTGTCAGTAGCAAAGTTTCTAGTGCAAACATTTTTGAAGAAAAAATTGTGAAAATGAAGAGATTATGCAACGTCATGTGGAGAGAAGGAAAGATGGAGAGAGTGAGATTGAGAGTGAGAAGTTGAACCAATTTGTAGTCAAACATTTTGCAGTCCATTTGGTAATTATTTTGATGAATATATTTGTGTAGAATATGACAAATCGTGGATTGAATATCACATTTCCTGATATTTCAAAAGATCTCAGCAAACTTTGGTCACCCATCATAAGAAGGAAAAAGGAAGAAGAAAAAGGAAAAAAGACGTAAGAAGGAAGGAAGAAGAAAAAAAAAAGAAGAAGGAAAAAGAAGAAGAACTTTTAGGAACTTTAAGAATGGTTGGTATTTCATAATTTCTTATATTTTGTCAGCTGAAATTAGAGAAATCTGACTCAATATATTTTTGCCATCATAAGAAGGAAGAAGATAAAGAAAATAAAAAGAAGTAAGAAGGAAGAAGAAGAAGAACTTTTAACAACTTTAAAAATGGTTGGTATTTCATAATTTCTTATATTTTGTCAGCTAAAATTAGAGAAATCCGCCTAAATATATTTGTGCCATTCGCCACCTCGCTCTAACACACTGAAGGGATTAATCCCTGCCACAGGTCTGTCGTGCATCATCTATATATACGATCACGAGAAACTAAAAATAAACTCAGTCTTTCCGGGGAAGGAACTCCCGTTTACAAAATCCGAGGGGGTAAGACTCTCTCACCCTGCCTTTCATATGAACTCTTCAGAATTCGAACATGTTCATGGAACATGTACTTGTAACCTATTATTCATGTTATTTCATGTCTGCATCTAAGATTCATATGTTCAGTCATGCTCTAGTGTGCGGTAAACACTCTTGCTTGCCGCCATCTTAAAATATACAGATGTACATTACATACAAAAATGTACATGTACATGTATGTTGTGTGTTATTATTTTATTTGCAATTTTCTAAAATCGTTAATTACCTGTAGAATTAAAAATGGAATAAAAGAGTGAATGTGAACTGCTCTGCATTTAAAGTGGACACTTTTAAGTTTTGAGTAGGAGAATCAAAGAAACTTTATAAGGTTCTTTTTAAAGTGCAAACCAATATTTACTGGCAAGTTGTGTGTGAAATCAAAAGATAGAGTTAACATTTAGACATTTGATAACAAAAGTGATATTGAACAAAAAATCAATAAATCAATAAAGATATGAATTGGCAATTATGTCATTGGACTTTAATGTGCTATTCACCGAAAAATCTCCCGTTTGTTGTAAACTTAAGTGAGTACCGGTATCTGTTTTTCTCTTTTAAAGTACAACTCTTTCTTGTTGCTCTTCTCATGTTACATGTTTGTTATGTTTGGCATGTTCACATGTGTCCTCCAATATACATGTACGGTAACACTATTCTTGTACATTTTGTACTTTATTTCCAGAATATAATAGGGACTTTTATATTGAGTGGACGAGAACGGCATGAACGTCCAGTGATCAGGCGTGTCTATGGCAAGCTGTTTTAACCTTTATTCCTATTTCTTGATATAAAAAATTACCATTGCTTTACAACAGAAAATCATTTCTTGATATCAAGAAATAAGATTAAATGTTAAAACGGCTTGCCATGGACACGCACGATCAGTGAACGTTCACGCCGTTCTCGTTCACTCAATCTAAAAGTCCCTAAAATGCAGATATACACATTTACAAATGTCCCTTTCTGTCCATTCCTACTATTGATTCACATTGATATCATTCTACCGATGTGGTTTATGGCATGGTTTATGGCATGGTTTCTGGCATGGTCTCTGGAAGTGAGTCAAGCTCAGCCTCCTGCCTTTCGGTCGGTCTGTGAAAAGGTCCAATGGAAATGAACAATGAAGGCAGCCAGTGAATAATACCATACTGCATGCATACTCGTCACAGTCAATACAGAGTATAATGTACAGGTAGTAGGTAGGGGTGCCAGTACCTTTAAATGATGAGTAATTCAAGGAACGTTCGAATAGGGACTTCCGTTCAGGACCGCAAGAGCACATGAATAGAGCGAATAGAGCTGATCATACGTCATTTCAGAGCAAACGTGTTCATAGGATAGGACATCACAGGTAGGCCAAAGTAGGGAAATATCCTTGTACTCGTGGGCCTATACAATCTCCATGTTCAATTGGGCAAGTAGTGTTATTTTTTTATACAAAGTTACCCGATACATTTGATTGAGATGAATATGAGCTTTTCCAGGACCAAGCAGTTTTCGTCTTGATGTCTTTTGGTACTTAAATTGTATCTTTTATTTCCTGTGAAAGTGAGAGTACTTGTAATATCTCAAGAGGCTGGATTCGATTGAAGTTGAGCAGAATAAGCTCTTGTTAATTGACACAACAATGAAGTCATAACTACCACTTCAGTACACATTTTAATTCACACAAATTTACATACATGTACTGTAGTATACTAACTCAGGGGAGGGGGGGGGGGGGGCTGCATTGTAGATTCCTGATCTTTTATGTTATCGTGTTCCCTTTGCACAGACAAGAGCTTAACGAAAGATATCAAGGACATATGTCAGCGATCTAAATTTAGAAAGCGCCTCTTCATTCCGGGAGAAATGTCTCAGCGATTACGAGGGGAGAGGAAGGTACGTCTTGGGATTCGTTAGACCCACGTGTGTCGGCCTCGTACAGCACACTTGTGTGATTTCCTGACTTGAGTAGGACACTAGTTAGGAGAAGGAAGTCCGTCATTAGTGTCGTCAGTTGACAATAAGGGGCTCTTCTACCCTCTCATTTAATCGAGAGCATACACATCATAGATATCTAGACGCTGAGAGACTCTTGTTAGTCCTGTTTGTCTTTGTTTGCGGAGGATTCTTTTCGTTGTTGTTGTTGTGCTATTAAATGAATTAATGTTTTCAGCATCTGATAGTGATACATGTAGACTTTCTGGTGAGTAGCTGTTGTTTAATATTTTGGCTTATGAAGTAATATTTTCAAGCATCTGATACTTGTGATAGACTCTCTGGCGAGTAGCTGTTGTATAATCTTTTTTATTTTGACTTTTGAAGTAATGTTTTCAGCATCTGATAGTGATACATGTAGACTTTCTGGTGAGTAGCTGTTGTTTATGATTTTGGCTTATGAAGTAATGTTTTCAAGCATCTGATACTTGTGATAGACTCTCTGGCGAGTAGCTGTTGTATAATCTTTTTTATTTTGGCTTATGAAGTAATGTTTTCAGCATCTGATAGACATTCTGGTGAGTAACTGCTGTATAATCTCTGTCTTTGGTCTAGATTGCTTACAGCCTCACAGAATGTTTACAACTACAGAATTAGTTAGACATATTAAAAAAAAGTTTTCATATCAGTATTTGTATGACATTTGTCATTACCGGTATATCTTTAGATTGTACAACTTTCTTGTGGATAATAACAATGAACACCGAACACTAGATTTATTTAAATTGTATTTTCATATTTGTTTAACATTTGTCATTACATCTTTCAATTGTAAAACTTTATTGTTGATAATAACACTGAACAGTCAACACTCAATGTTGGGAGTATTATATTTCATTTATCTTATTGTCATATTTGGTATCAAAGATACAAAGTCTTGATAATGCCTGCATTAAAATATGATACTTTAAACAGCTTACTATGATTTTTATCTGAAAAGAAAGCTATATCAAATAGCAGTTATAAAGCACATCATGGGAATATACAGTTAATTCTGCATAACTTGAAGTCCCTCAAGTCAAATTTTTCTCCAAGTCCAATCTTTAATTTCTTTTAATTTTAAATGAAACTACCGGTATGCAAAACACTTCTTAAATTGAATTTTAAATAAGAAGAACTAGTTTTTTTCTTGGCAGTCTCTACTCCCTACAGATATGACTAATGCAATGTTCAATGTATACTAGGTTATTTATACAAAAGTTATTTCATTTTTTTGTCAGAGAGCTTGTTTGAAGAGAAGGTTGGACACTACAGGGGGAAATAGTGACGAGCAGTTGGGCATTTTTCCATGCACAAAATCTCTGGTTTTCTAAAGAATATAGAAAAGGAGAGTACTTTGAACTAGTTACAGGGGGAAATAGTGACGAGCAGTTGGGCATTTTTCCATGCAAAAAATCTCTGGTTTTCTCAAGAATATAGAAAAAGAGAGTACTTTGTAACAAAAAGAAAGGGTGGGGGAGGGGGGGGGGGGGGAGATAACACCATAATGAGGTGCTTATCTCTACAGTTCTTTGTTGCAAAGATTGTAGCCCACCCTTGAACACTCCTGACAGACCTTCAGTATTATCAATGAAGACAATTTCCATATAAATAACTTTTTTTTTTTTGGGGGGGGGGGGGGGTGTATTTTCATTCTGGTGACTGGTGTGTATGTAATTACAGTGTACTTTACACAGAGGTCACATGGCTTCTTACAACACATACCTGCACAATGTTTGAACTCAGTTTCCTGCCAAATCTGATTGGCAAATAACATGCTTGCTTAAGGGAATAGCGGCTAGAATGGTGTCTGCAGTGGTAGACTAATTAGTAATCCTATTAGACCTTAGAAGAAGATGGTACCATTATTAATCATTCATCTCGCTGGTGTGAATTGCTTGGTCTTATATTAGTACTGGATCTCACTAGGCCCTGTCAGACATTATGTTGCCTTGGAATGGATTCTTATGATTTCTCTGGCGACACATCCTTCTCATGGAGTTCATTAGTTCATTTAGTTGAATATCACTTATTCAATCGTTAATTTAATAGTTAAATAGTACTAGAGACAAAGAAAAGGGAAGCTACAGAAAATGATGAGCTGTGAAAATGTTCATGAACAAACTCTTCCACATACAGTACGTACATGTACAAGGAATAGGTAACATACAAATTGATGCCTGTAAAATGTTGTTTTGTTAATATTGTTGTTTTTAAAAACAAAGCTTTAAGAAATGTAAAACAATGTACAATATTAATGTACATGTTTCTTGGCCTATATTTCTGTTGTAATGCTAGGCTGAAGTGTAACAAGTCATATTCATGCACACAGTGTTGATACTCGTCTGGCTCTCGACAGATGATGTAGGCACTATGAACATGACTGACAAAGAAAGCGGACAAAATATACTGTTCCTCAGGTAGACAAAGGAACATCCCTTCACTGCTATTATGTAAAAATGTGTAGAACAGGTGTCACATGCATATTCACCTTTTTACATAATAGCAGTGAAGGGATGTTCCTTTGTCAACCTGAGAAACTGTATATTTTGTCCGCTTTCTTTGTCTGTCATGTTCATAGTGAGGTCTGTATTAATTTGATACACAATGCAGACCCAAAACATCCTGTTTTATTACATCTTTATTGCTCAATATTTGTACAAAATAAAGGTGTAAATACTGTATACCATTCAGGAGATGTTCAAACATTATAAACTGGTTTCTTTTACTTCAATGTGTTTCAAGGTTTCTCTTATGTACAAATTGTAGAAGTGTTTTCATGTGCGTTTGCATGATAATCTTATTCATGTCATTCAAAGGTAATCCTTGTAAATCCCCTCCTGATCCTTTCATTTTGCAGGGTGCTTAGAACAGGCACCCCGTAAAGCCCTACATGTATAAACGGTAATCCAGAATTCTATATCTCTCTTCCCAAGGAATACCACCCTTCACTGATACAGCCCTTGTCAGTTTGAAGAGATTGTAACCTTCAAAATTGCAACTACATGTATAAGTGTATGGTTAGTCAAAACTAGAAATGACAACCACAGAGTTTACATATATTCGAAATACCGACAAGCTAGAACGCTTTAAGCTGGCTTTAAAATCCTTCTTTTCAAGCAAATGTGTAGTCCATGACTATTCAGTATTGGAGGAGCGGCGTCTTTTAATGTTTAAACCAGATAAATGGCGCCATACAAGTGCTGTAGATCATCATTATCAAATACTTAGCTTTTAAATCTAAACCTGTTTTGAATTTTATATCTAGACTAAAAAGAATTTAATACGCAGATATGCCGCAAATTTGCAATGCTACCATGTTGCCCTTAGATAAACATGCTAAATTGATGCTCTAAGCTTTGTTATGATTTTGAAGAGAAATTTTGAATGGGTGATAACTTTCCCTGATACCTTGTAAATAGATGTAGGATTACATGTTTTTTCATCCATCTGAGCTCCGTCTTATAAATAGTAGCGATTGATTCAAATCAATCTCGGAAGTACTACACAGTTGCTATATTTCTATGTTGCGATTGATTTGAATCAATTTAACAAAATGCAAGAGTGTGTGAAATGCAATGCTGCCAACTTTAAGGAGTACAGGACTTCATAGATTATCATTATTGATAAGTTCAATTTTTTAATGGGTTTTAATCCATTCTGTGGTTGAACATTATGTTTTATGATATTGGTAAAGAAATCTGATCCCCTGAGAGGTCTCAAGGCTACTTTTGTCCGGATTACAAGGAAATTAGTTAATTAAACATTCTGAGCGTGGGCGATACATGTACTATTTACATGTAGTGGCATGAAGGAAATAATAATTTTCCCCAAATCCATGGCATAAACTTGACCAACACTGTGGTTTTACCTGGAATATTGTCTTTCAGTGAATATCCTGTCTCTCAGTGTATCCTGTATGTATTTTTTAAAAGCGAAACGACATTGGCTTGTGAAGTAGTAAATATACGTAGGCCTACATCATGTTTAGATACTACATCTGGCCGAGTTTCTAGAAGAATTACCTCACATCCCCCCCCCCTCCCCGGGAAAAATATTGTTTCTTTTGTCTTGCTTTCAAGTGTATCATACACATGTATGAGAGACGCTCTCCTTTTTGTTGTCCTTGGAGGGATTTTTGCAAAGCAGTTTTATTTGAGCTAATTAAAACCAAAATATCCTGCGTGACTTGCAAACACACATCCATGGGTAATCTTCCTGTGTTTGTTTTTGTTTCATGTACATGATATCATAGCATGATGTAGAGAAGAGCTAAAAATACAATTTTATGTTTTGATGGCTTATTTTGAGCCAAATCTGATACGGCCATGATGTTCTTGGGATCATATTGTGGCATTACATGTACATCTTGAAACTGATTTCATAGGGGCAAGTCACCCCCTGTCTGTGAAAAAAAAAAATTCATCAGCTGAACGTCAAAATAGCATGCATACTTGGTTACTTCATATCACGACTATAGACACCAACATGCGCCCAGGACAAATCTAAGACTGGACCCAATACATTTGTAATTCTTTACATAGGATAATAGAACGATAAATCTTCATACACATATGTACACATAAGTCAAATGAAATGTGCAGTTTGCGTTAACGTTTGAATTAAACATCCAATCGACAATTATGCAATAATGTACCTGCAATTTCTACTGTTATTTACCAACAAAGTGCTGGTAGCCTCCATACATGTACAAACTACAAACATACATACAAACAACTTATTCACATCCGGCTGGTGCACTATACCAAGCATGCCCAAACTTGATGCAGTGAGCAGAAATAGATTCAGAATCCTGTAATGGGATTGGTTAGGGGACAATACAGGAAAAAACCCATATTGTAGTTTCCGGTAATACAGATTTGACATATCGTGAAATATTTGATTTGAAAACATTATCTTTATTTTAAACGACATACATGTATGAAGAAATGTAGCAAAAGTTTAATAATCCATGTATATTATAATAATTAAGTTATAAATGAAAAGTGTTTGTTTCCTTTTTTTTTACACTTGTACTATTTCTCTTACCATATTTATTGTTTTGGAACAAGCCAACAAAACACTAACCTGATACATATTTTTCTTTTACAACAGATACCGTGTAGTCAACACAAACTCTAAGAACTCTAAGAGAGAATTAGGAGTTACAGCTACTTTGGATCCAGCTTTTTACAGGCAGAATCACAGCTGTTTGGAGCCTTATCATGTGAGTATTGCGGGATGTCTTTCTGCCGGAAATTACAATGTTTCTAAATGCGTTGGAGTGTTGACATTAAAAGCATAATATTTCCTGAGAAGTTAATCTTTAGGGGAAGTTGTTGTCCCATCGATTGGAAGTACTTCAATCAATTGCACAATTGTAGTCACCTCTGAATTTCATCTGAAAGGCATATATACATGTAGAGTCGCAGTTGATATCTGGGCCCCGTCTTACAAAGAGTTGCGATTGATCCAAATCAATCACAAGTCCTCCAATCAATCGCAAGTTTGCAGTCTCCTATCTCTTATGTTTATAGTTGCGATTGATATCAATCGTAAATAAGTTGTCATTGATATCAACTCTTTGTAAGATGGGGCCCTGGGGGGCATTTCACAAAACTTGTCATCAGTGACAAGTAACAGTTTTTGTTACAAGCTACTGAAATCCTTGCTTCTGATTGGTTATCAACAGATTTGTCATTGAAAAAAGGCTTTATGAAACGGGTCCCTGGTCTACAGGTACAGACTCTACTTTGACACTTTACCACAATTCATGAAGCCTTGAGTAGAGCCTAGCTCTGTCAGTCACTGGCTGTGTCCGCAGAAACTTAAGTACAAAGCCTTTGCAGTGTGCCATCAGCCTAGTTTCTTAGTTCAGACCTCGTTACGCACAACAACCGACAAGGTGCCTGCAAACCAGTCGATATCAATCTTAAGTGAAGTTGTGATTGACTCCACTCTTGATTGAAATGGCCATGACCATTTGTGATCAATTTCTTGTTGAACACCCTTGTGAAAAACACCCTTACAGTCAGACCGCAGCGTGCGCGATAATGAGGCTGTGCGTACAAATTTACTCAGAATCTCGTTGTGTACTTTGGTCGCTTTCGGTGCTCTCGTGAAACGCGATAAAATTTACGAGATTTGGGAGGTGTAATACATTCGCCCTCTACAGGCTCCCTGTACATCCAAGATGGCGATATGACCGGGTAAGTCAATCTTTGAATTCTGGCCTTTCGTTTGATACCAAATTTGCTGTTTCACGTATTTTTTAAAGCATATTTTTCCCATCATCGAAAAAGTCATTTTTTGTCCTTACGATTGATTCGTTTTTTAAACAGTTTCGTTCTTTGCTAGTTCCTGACTGGTATTGAAAGTATTTTCCCGATATTTTTCGACGTACGTCTTCGTTGATGTCCAGTTGATTATTTAATGCGCAAATTCGAGAGACGCAAGTGCTCTTTCTATTAATAAAAGGCATTTCAAACTCCCCAAAGTACGGAATTGTTACCGGAAGTTGTGAGAAAAATAACTCTTAACCGCGGGAAATCGCAATTGTCACCATGGCCACCGAGGCTAAGCCGGGAGTTTTTCCACGGCCCCGCGACAGCCACACATAGCTGCATTACGATCTCGGCTGCATATTAAAAACTGTTCTATTGATTCTCAACATTTCAAACACCACTGTCCAAAACTCAACTGATTTCACTCAAAATCGGTACTTTAGTGGCAATTGATGACACCTAAATAGCATTAAAATACAAATTTTTTAACTTGCTAATGTTGGAAAGACTAATTAAAAAATCAAAATCGTGAGTCTACTGTCAAACTTGCCGATCGACCATTTCGTATTCAGTGTGTACATTAGTGACACATTGACTGTATTATGTTCAATTGCTGCCTCAGCACGTAATAAATCGCTAGAGGTCAATACGCAATAGCATTGACTATGCTTTGCTGGATCGAGTGCGCGGCAGCATGCTAGATGTTCAGTCCCATATGTACAAATTTGTGTACCGATACTTGTCCAAATCTAAATATTCTAGATTCAGCTGAGCTGAGCTGACGTGACTTTAACAGATTAATGCCTAGTTTGTATAGACGCTAGACTCTTTATGGGGAGATTAAGTTTTGGTAGGCCTATATTGATATGTGTTTGATAGATATTTTTGATGGAAGTGTTGCATATTTGACCTCCAAAATATGTTGTTCAGAATAATTCATAATCATGAATGGTCACGATTGGGCTTGGCAGTAGGCCTAGACTAGTTTATTTATCAAAGTTATAAGACATAGACCTAGTCTAGCTATTATTAAAATTAATTGTGTGGCTGAAGACTGGTTTAACATATGCCATTATGTGCTACTAAAATTGATATTTTAACAGTAAATTTTGTTCTTGTTTCCATCAATTATTTTTTACAGATCTGCCTCTAGCTCTGGCCAGACATCCTGCATTAACGTGACCATATTTAGTGATTCTATTTTTCGCGGATTAGGAAATATTTTATGCGACTTACATGTGAATTTAAATTGGAATGTTCATGTTTTTCCTGGAGCAAATATTGACTCTCTTCGCCACCATATAAAACATTTGCAAGGAGACTTTATCGATAACAATACATCTTTTGTGTTATTACATTGTGGAACAAACAATCTTCAGCAGGGTGTGTGGAATAAGGACAAACATTCATTTTTAAAGTTATATATATCTGTTAGTGAACGCTTCCCTAGAGCGAGAATAATTTTTAGTGCAATATTGCCCAGATGGGATCGTGAAGATTTTTATATACAATCGTTATTCTACAATCGAGAACTATCAAAACTCGCCAAGAGCTGGTCCTGCAGAATTTTTGATGCTTCTGATTTGTTTGTCAGGGATGACTACTTATATGTTTTGGACGGCTTACATCTGAATTTTTGTGGGAAATTTGAATTGGCACAAAGACTATGTACATTTTTTGATTTGGCGTCAAACCCGTCCCCTAAATCCCAAAGTGCACCCTCAAGGATCCCACCAGAATTAACAAAACTTTTCACCGCTAAAAAACCCAAAAAAGAATTACCCTGGACCGAAACTAATTTAGATTTGGTGGCTTACAAAAAAAGAGAGAAATACGGAAAGTATTACCCCCCAACAGCAAGGAAACCCAAGGCGGAGCCATCCCAAGAAAGGAAATCGCAATGTAAACCAATCTGCATCACGTACATCCCGTATGTCGAGGTACTAAGGCCTCGCCCTCGACATGGATCCCACACTGATGTTGCCCTCCCCAAAGCCACGTCGTGCTACGTGGCTCATAAACAAAAGGCCAAGAGAAGAAAGCGGAGGAGGAGGAAGACTAAAAAGAGGAGACAGAGGAAAAAGGTACTTACATGTATATGCTTTTAGCCTTTTATTGAATGTAATTTGTTTTGGCATTTATGTGGCTCATACATTTACGTATGTAATTTTATTTTACACAGGTTTTGTTAGTACGGTATTCTATTTTGTCTTTAAAAGCATTTCACATTCATAGACAATAGATGGTACCCAAGCATTTTAAGAAAGACACTTCTTATTTTAGAGTATGAAAGGATTATATTTAGGTTAATTTTAAGTTAAATGATTCTATAATCTAATAAAAAAATAAAATGAAAAATGATAATGTATGACATCAATTCATTGATTAAATGATTTTTATGTAAATAAACAATGATATAAAATCAACAATTAAATGAGTTGAAAGTTCTTGAAATTTTTCCTTTTTTATTGTTTTTTGTTGTTGTCAATATCAATTTACAGGCAAAACATGGCAGCCCAATTGTTTATCTGGAAGCAGCGTACATCCCAGCTGATCACCCACAAAAAGACCCCCCAGACGAGAAGGTAGTTCCTTTTCTAGCTGCACCAATCATGCCGACTGATCACCCTCCAGACGAGAAGGTAGTTCCTTTTCCAGCAGCACGCATCATGCCGACTGATCACCCTCCAGACGAGAAGGTAGTTCCTTTTCCAGCAGCATGCATCATACCAGCTGATCACCCTCCAGTCGAGAAGGTAGTTCCTTTTCCAGCAGCACGCATCATACCGACTGATCACCCTCCAGACGAGAAGGTAGTTCCTTTTCCAGCAGCACGCATCATGCCGACTGATCACCCTCCAGACGAGAAGGTAGTTCCTTTTCCAGCAGCACGCATCATTCCAGCTGATCACCCTCCAGACGAGAAGGTAGTTCCTTTTCCAGCAGCACGCATCATGCCGACTGATCACCCTCCAGACGAGAAGGTAGTTCCTTTTCCAGCAGCACGCATCATTCCAGCTGATCACCCTCCAGACGAGAAGGTAGTTCCTTTTCCAGCAGCACGCATCATACCGACTGATCGCCCTCCAGATGAGAAGGTAGTTCCTTTTCCAGCAGCACGCATCATGCCGACTGATCACCCTCCAGACGAGAAGGTAGTTCCTTTTCCAGCAGCACGCATCATTCCAGCTGATCACCCTCCAGACGAGAAGGTAGTTCCTTTTCCAGCAGCACGCATCATGCCGACTGATCACCCTCCAGACGAGAAGGTAGTTCCTTTTCCAGCAGCACGCATCATTCCAGCTGATCACCCTCCAGACGAGAAGGTAGTTCCTTTTCCAGCAGCACGCATCATACCGACTGATCGCCCTCCAGATGAGAAGGTAGTTCCTTTTCCAGCAGCACGCATCATGCCGACTGATCACCCTCCAGACGAGAAGGTAGTTCCTTTTCCAGCAGCATGCATCATACCAGCTGATCACCCTCCAGACGAGAAGGTAGTTCCTTTTATAGCAGCATGCATCATACCGACTGATCACCCTCCAGACGAGAAGGTAGTTCCTTTTCCAGCAGCACGCATCATACCGACTGATCACCCTCCAGACGAGAAGGTAGTTCCTTTTCCAGCAGCACGCATCATGCCGACTGATCACCCTCCAGACGAGAAGGTAGTTCCTTTTCCAGCAGCACGCATCATGCCGACTGATCACCCTCCAGACTACAGGAGATCCAAGTCATCCACCATTGAAGTACATGAGAGAGATCACAATAAGTGTCATCGGACACCATACACACATGAGAGCGACAGTTTGTTGGGGTAAAGGTAAAGAAACCATGTGGTAAGCAAGTTTGCGGACCATGTGGTTTATGTCATCAAATGAGATTTAAATACACCCATTTAAGCTCAATCAAGTCTAGAAACCTTATTTCTGCTATCAAAAGTAACTGCAAGCATGTTAATAATACAACTTGTATTTGCAATGGATGTCGCCTTAAATATTTCAAGAAGTTGTCAAATCCGTTATACACTCCTGAAAAGTCAAGAAAGAAGCATCTAACTTCACCATGTTTTTTATCAACGTACTTATCTTGCACAGCTTCAGCTGAGGTGGAAACTGAATGCTCATTAGAAGATTTAAATGATATTTTCTGTGTACAAGCTGAAAACATTCCTAAAACCATTAATATTTGTAAAGTACATAGAAGTCAAATTTCCAACTTTCATATTAATAAGAGTGTCAATTATTGTGCTGTTTGTGGTTCTTCATTGAAAGGCAAAAAATATTCCTCCACCATTTTAGCTGATGATGGCTTGAAAAAAGTCACTGAAATAAATCAGAGCTTTCAGGCGAGTCCTATGAATTATTTATGTCCGTCTTGCTATCGGTACTCATTGAGGACAGGTAAAACATCTCAAACCCTGGAGAAGTTAGAAAATGATTTATGTAATATGACTTGCCCAGTTGAAGAGGAAGAAGAAGTCGGTATCGAAAGTGCAATTTCAAAAAGTTTAAAGGCCACATACCTTCATTTATGTTCAGTATTGAAAGACAGATGTTCTTTCTTGCTATCATATGCGTACGACTATTATTTACAATCGTTAAGGAAAATATGTACAACTGATCTTGACTACCACACATCTGTGAAAACTAAAACTTGGCTTCATACTAAAATTGTGGACACATTTATTGATATATTATGTGTGCACAATTCTGCATGTAAGAAAGGTTGTTTTTTCTACCTGCAAAACCTTACTTTTAATGATTTAGTTGATCAGTGGCACAATTCTTGTTCAAAAGTTAGACTGCTACAGAAGAAAGTAGAGGAATGCGAATCTCAAGCTGAACCATCTGTACCTCATAACTCTGCTCATGATATGTCTCTCCAAACACAATTGAGCAATGTTGTGTCTAATTTTAATACCAACCTCCGAGTCCAGGCTAAACAAATAACTAGTCACTTTGTTTCAGATCCCATGCTTTTGAATGAATTTGATTTTCAGTCTGTTGAAAAAATGTTTATTCCTTTTGTTTGGAACTGTGTAGTTCTGCTCACTGCAAGTGCAGAAGAATTGAATTATTTTAGAAACACCACTGCTTTGGTTGATGAGAAACCTATTGTTTATCCAACTGATTCTACACCTGCTGGTGTAAGGAGGAAAAAGAAAAGGATAGCTCTTGTGTTTGTAATGCAATTCATTCTTAATGAAGAACACAATTACCCATTTCATGTAATAACTGCTAATGTTATCAAACGTTTATCACACTCGTCAAAGTTATTGCAAATAATGAACAAGCTAGGATTTTCCTGCTCTGAAGACACCTTGTCAAGATTTTTGCAAAAGGTGCAAGACGTGCGAGAAGAGTCAGGACCCATATCACATATTAATCAATCGATGTTGTCATGTGTATCTATTGATAATATTGATGTGTTATCTCCATATGCGGCAGTGGTAGCCGATAAATCTCGTAGTTGGCATGGAACATCTATCATGGCCCAGCAGCCAAAACCAGAATCCGAGGCCTTAAATTCATGTGAATATTTGAACAAGGAAGTCACTATTTCAAATTCATCAACAGTTCAGGATGATGAAATCATCCCTGTTGACAACTCACAGACATCTGTTAAGAAACCAAACATCCGTAGAAGATTGCCAGTTTTGGAAGATCTCAAAATTCCATCTAAGAGTGATTTTGATGTTCCTTTATTCAAGACGTACATTAGAGGTCAGTTGTCTGAAGATATCTTTTGTCTTACAGATGATGAATGTCAGTCAGCCAATGAGCTTTCATTCGAAATGGCTGTTTATATTGCACAAAGGTATTCATGTGTAACAGAGTGTGAAAAGTGTGTTATTCCAAGTTTCAAGCTGAAACTTGCTTTAGAAGCTGAAACACTAACAGAAAAATCTAAATTTGCATACTTGTATGTTTTAGATGAAAAGGCGGACTCACCTTCTACAATGTTAAAGGCTTTAGGTATCCTTTATGATACGTTTGGAATCAACAAGACTACAAATCATTTGGTTGTTGCTGGAGATGGGGCAACTGTTAAACTACTATATGATTTAAAGAAAGAATATGGAGAGTCCCTTGATTGGGTGATTCCCTTTCTTGGGGACTGGCATGTCCTGAAAAACTTCCAGGAAGTATTGTTAAAAATTTTCTGGGATGCAGGGTTAAAGGACATAGCCAAATTGTCTCACAAGAGTTCAACACTTAACAGTCTTGGGTCTTGTTCTAACTTCAAGAGAACACATAGGTTTCTGCTTCAAGTTTATGAAGCTGTATTCATGTGTCTGTGGCAGTCATTTTTTGACTATCGGTCAGGTCAGGAAGAATCTGTGTCAAATAGCGAATTCAAAAAAAATGTAAAAGATGTTGTTTCAAAATTGATTTTTGAAAATGGTAAATATAAAGGAGTACCAGAATTCAAAGATGCACAGACAGATTTCAAGACCGAAACAATGATCCCATTTATGGAGGAGTTTACAAAATATTGTAGTGAAATGTCGCAGAAATATGAAACTTTCCGCTTCTGGCATCGTTTCTTATATGAAGATGTTCTTTGTTACATAGATTTGTGGATAGCCATAAGACAGGGAAATTGGAATTTGCGTATGGCAGCTCTGAAGAAAATGGCCCCGCTTTTCCATGCATTTGACCGTCACAATTATTCCAAATTAATCCCACTGCACATTAGTAGTTTACTTGCCCTACCCCAAGATGTTTTGGAACATTTCAAAAGAGGATGTTTTGTGTCCAGTATAAAAGGTACCAACTTTGCTAAAGTAGGATTTGATGAAGGGCACGAGATGTTGATTAATAAAGACTTCAAAATAGCCTTCACACATTCTCTTCCAAAACACATGGAGCAGTTAGTAGGAACCATGGAGTTTCAAGCTCATTTGATCCGTCTATTTGAAGAACAATTAGGCATCCTAAATGTAAATGAAAATGTCCACAGAGACTTACAGTGGTCTGTCATTCAATCAGAGTTTAAGAATGTCAAGCTGTACTTTGAGAATTTTTCTAAAACACAAATGTTCCAGCCTCTGCAAGAAGCGAGCCTTTTCCATGTTGTTTCAAATGTTAAGGCAACTGCTGCACAGCAAAAATGCCTTCTTTCATATAGGGAACTAGGAAATGATTCGTATGAATCATACTGTAAAATGCACATACTGAAACAAACCTCTGTAAAGACACCTGTTCAGAGAAAATTTCAACTGAAAACGTTTGCTAAAGAAAAATTGAGAAAGAAGAAAGTAACGGATCAAGAAAAGGAAAATAAGTTGATAACCCTTTGTTACAAAAGAACAATGGCATTTTCTCGGGAAACTAAGACACCCATTTCAGATTTATGCCAGTACGCTGAATATCCTAGAGCTATTTGTGACAAAGATGGTTTACCACACAAAGGTGCTAAATCAGTTGTGTATGATTTCTTTCGTAAAAGATATTCAGAAAGTTACGAGGTAGTTTCTCACTCATATCAATTTGTGTCAGGTATGTGTGTAATAATAGAGGGAATGAACATTATATACAGTTCCCCTTTGCACAGTTTGAAAACTTTCTTGGACTATGCAAAGTTCTTAGTAGCGAGGTGGATATTGCCTTTCTTTAGAAAAGGTGCCCATGATGTGCGTGTACTATTTGATCAAGTTCGCACCCAAGGAGTGTCTCCCAAAGATGTTGAACGTTCCAGGAGAGATGGAAAAAATGAAGATTATGATGTATTTGATGCTCTTGATGATGATGTACCACTCCCAAGACAGTGGAGTAATTTCCTTAAAATACGTCAAAATAAGCACAGTTTGTGTCGTTTTTTATCTAAGAAATTCATTGAGCTTGTAAAATATGAGGATTTGCAAAAGGACCAGGTGTTCATAACTTCTGGTGGATTTCATACAGGTTTGCAAACATCTAGTACCTGGTCAGGAATGTCCGTCAGTGAGCATGGTATTAACCATCATCATTTGATACATAATCATGAAGAATCAGATACCCAAATCTGGTTACACGTTTTCGACACTAAATGTAATAATATTCTAATCTACTCGATAGATCGTGATATTGGAATGATAGCTTTACCTCTAGATTTTGGTGCAAAGCAAGTGACGGTTCAATATCGTGCCAAGGTTGGGGATGAAAAATATTTGAATATTGGGTCATTACAATCTGCCATTGATAATGATTCTGATCTAGCCTGTTTCAAAGATAAGGGCATAAATGCAAGGAAATGCTTACAAGTTATATACATTTCTTCAGGCTGTGACTTTGTGTCATACTTCGCACATCTTGGAAAGAGTTCATTTTTAAAGACATTTTTCCACAATGCCCACTTTATATCAGGTGGTTACAGTAATACAATTGGACATTTGTCACAAACTGATATAAATGTTGACTCAGAATTAGGTATGTTATCTTTTTATCGACTTATTCTATGTGTATACTTCCAAGCTAACCGAGCTTGCCTCCATAATTACAATACAGTTGCTGATGTCTATAATTCCATTGAATGTCCAGTTGGATTAGAGCACCATCATAAGGCACTCGATATTGTTCGCATGGCTTCATGGAAGGGCGTTTATGAGGATGAATTACTTCCTTCCAATACTTCTCTTAAACTTCACTGGTTGCGATCTTGTTGGGTTTCAACAGTTTGGGGGGAAGCTTGTACACCACAATTTCAGTATCCAAATGTGACACTCTATGGTTATAATGTTTCTAATGAGGATGGTACTGTCAAGGTAAGCATCATTTGGGATACTGACGAAAATATAAATCGCATAAGAGACAATGTATTGTATCTCACTCGAGGATGTGCTTGCTCAAAGAGCAAATGCAAGAATAGGTTGTGCAAATGTTTGAAGGCTGGCAAGAAATGTGGCCCTGGGTGCCGATGTAAGAATTGTGAAAATGTTGGTGGTATACAGGTACATGTAGATACTCCAGATGATAAGGAAGAGGTTGATGCTCAATCGTCCGAGTCAGATATTGGTGACGAAGATTATAATGATGAGGGACATGTCACGAGCTTTGAAGACGTTGAAATCAATCTTGAAACAGATTATACTTTCAGTGAAAATGAACATGAAATATATGATGTACTTGAGCTAGAAGATGAATACATTGAAGTGGATGAGGACATTGAAGTGGATGAGGACATACAAATGGATGAAGGCAGTGATTTTTATACATGTCTAGATGACAGTTTAATGTGAGGGACAATGTCAGATTTTAGAAACCATTGCTGGTTTTCTCAAATTTATTCTTCTAATCCAAGTTATCATGCATAATTTCATTTTATATTGTGTAAGTCAGGAATGTAATGGTGTGGCAGGATATCTAGATCTGTAATGTATACATCATCTCATTCCAATCTTTTAATTACCACTGTATGTGCATACACAGCTGTGAAGTAAGCTAGAAGGCTCCACAGCTTTGAAGTCACACTTGGGATACTTGTACGTAGTCCTTTCTTGTGATACATTTAACACTTTACTAGTGACTTTATTGCGTAAGATTTAGTACTTTATAAAAATGCTTGAAGTGTTTCTAACATTTAAGCTTTTTAACATTTGTACATGGTACAACTCTGAAGGAAAATTGTGAAAGTGGCATGTGTACTTTTTACATGTACATTTCAAGTTACTTGCCATATTACGTTTAAAATCACCTTGTCTTGCAAATATCTTAACTGTGATAACACTTTTTAGGAGAATTTTTTCTCTCTTAGATTACATGTTTCTTCTGATCAAGCTATTATGTACTTGATACATGTATGTAGAGCATGGTCATACTGGTCATATTTTCCCATGCGTGTCGACACATAGTACAATTGGATAGCAATGCTTGTGCTTCAACTTATAATTCATGTATGAATAACTCATCTTGCCTTAGCATTCATCACTCAAACTAGCCTCATAATCCTTTCATATGAGCAATGTTTACATTCAGGGCATAGGTCATATATGTGATTGTTTTAAGTATATATTTTGTGCTCCACCTTGCAAACAGCTGAACATTATACCAAAGATATTGAAATATGTATGGGTATGTATAAAGCATATTTTACATCTGGGTATTTGCTTAGGTTAGGAAAAAAGATTTGTAGAGTTAAATGTAAATACATTATGTAGTAATTTAAGATGCATCACTGGCCAAAATGCAGAGAGTATTCTTTGTACATGAACAATAAAGATGTAATTTTGTGATCTAGTGTGTTGATCAATCAACTCAGGATGAGAAGGTATCTCACATTTATAACATAATACGTTTAACTTGCCAATTGCCTTATATTGTTTTTATACGTAAATTTGATATATATCTTCATGTTGATCTTTCATGGCATAACTCTCAATATACATGTGGAAATACCTACATGTATATCTACAATTAATAACCTGTGAGAAAAACACCTCTTCATTTGTGTGTGCTAAATGCAAGATATTCATTGTATGTTTAATATCATACATTGGTCTTTCATTACATATATTATGTTTAAATAGCATAACATTTAATGTAATATCAATGGAAGAGTGAACATCTCCAGCTTGAGTAGATCATGTTTATGTCTGCCAATTTTTTATATTTGAAGAAGAAAAAAAGGACAGATCTTTACACGTCTTGCCATGACAATGTCATATCGGCGCCAGTATGCTTAACTATTAAGGAAAAAAGCCTACCTTAAACAGATATTGTGCTATGTCAGTTATGTAAATAAGTTCAAAGAGTTATATGAAAAATATTAATAAATGTTTTGAAAAAAAATGGATCATGTGTAACGTTTACAAGAATATTTTGTAGTGCTTGAAGAAAGGTACAGATAGGCATGGTATGAGTGTTCCTGTTTGTGCATGTCTGTACATATTTCATATATTAATTAGATAGAACTTTTGAGAAATAACTAGTTCATTTGATCCTGCAATGATAAATGCAACCACCCAGTATCAACGGTATGTCCTGTAGAGTGCATGATAATAAAAGAACCTCAATATATTCTATACTGCCAATAAAATATATGCCTGTCCCCCCTACATTTAAAATTTGAATATAAATAAGATTTCACCGATAAATTTTGAAACAGAAAAACCTGGAGAAAAAAAATTAAGCCAATTTTCAAGTGGACATAACATTAGTTGGAAAATTTGATTGCACTAAATATTTTTCTACTAATGATGATCAACTTAATTTATCCCGATAAACCACCACCTACAATTACTCTTCGAAAAGTAGAAATGGCAGCAGGGATAGAAATTGTTTTTTAAACGTGGAGGGGGCTGCAAATGTTTGTCTTTCTTCAACAGCCAAAAATTGTGTGTGTGTGTGTGTGTGTGTTTGTCTGTTTGTTATTTTGTTTAGATTGGGAGGCATTATTACACTGTCATTTGGAAGATTATTGGGAGTTTAAAAGATGAGAAAAGGTCATGCATGTTTAAATAATATGTAAAATAATATCACAAGTGAGTGAAAATAAATTATCGGGTCACATAGGTCACTATTGAACAAAATCAAACAGAAAATAGAATAAGGGAAAGAATTATGTAATTATTTTATTTCCAGGAATACACATGAACTGGCATTACAAAATTGACAAAAGAATCATCAAATAAAATATTTCCATCAACAAATGCCTTGGGATTACCAAAAGAAATTCATGTTTGAGGCTTTCCTTATTATTTCATGGTTTACAAATTAAAAAACGGGATTAAAAAAAAAAAAAAAAAAAATCAGAAATATTACAACCTGAGCCAACCGCCTGCGATACAAACATGACATTATTAACAGGGATGGGAACAATCATATTTTTCATTTTTCAATTACAATATCAATCACATTCCCCCTGAAGGTTTGTATTTACACAACTAGACCTATACATATGAGAAAGAAAATGTGTCTTCTATGTTAAAATGAGGTTAAAAACTGACCAAAATAAGCCTATAAAGACACTTAAATCCTCCCCACTGTCCCCTACTAATTATAGAGTTGGTATTCTATATTGCACTTTTACGTATCCGTATCCAACTTTGTACTTTCCGTTTACTTCTATAATTATGTAGCGCATGAGTATCATACACAATAATAAGTATATGGGGCAATACAAAGCCTCTACGACCGGGGGTTACGCACACGAGAGTAATTCATGAATATCCTTAATCTCCGTCTATCTTCCGTGCGTGTTCACGTATAGCGCGCAGACTGGTTGGACCGCGAATCGACGCAGAGCTATATATATAACGTGGTATCCCCCGGTTGATCTCGCTGCGAAACGCTCGTCGATCGGCCATGTCTTATTTTCCGCCGAAGTCTATTATGCATCAGCTACTACTTTGCTAGTTCCTGACTGGTATTGAGACCGACATTGACAGGAAGTATAATATTATGTTAGAAAAATATATACATTATGTGGTAAGCCAAAATTCAGCGAGACGCACCCCCGATAAAAATGGTTATTTAACATGTATATCCGACTCTTCAAATATTTTTTTTTGCAAGTTTTTTTTGGTGTTTTTTTCACATTTTGAAACTTCACTCACTATTTATTGAATAGTACATTATAAGGTGTATAGTTCTGGCTCAATATTCATGACGAATTCAATTTCATTAAATGAATCCTGAGCATAGCAGAGAGATGAGAACTGTGCCATGTTTTTGCTCATTACGTATTCATAAGGAGCAAAAACGTGCATACGACTTGAGTAAATACGGGCGATTTGGCGAGCGCTGCGGTCTGACTGCTTACGAAAAACAAGACGTTTATTAGTGATATATTTAGATCATAAAAAGGGCATATTGAAGTTTGTGCGGTGAACAATTTATAGGTAATAAATACCATAGCCATTAATAAAAAGATATACACGTATAGGCATGCAGATTATTGTAGAACCAGAAACTCTCATGTGCATTAAATGTTTGTGAATTTCATGAGTGGTTCAGGTTCATGATCGTTTTATGCAGGGAAATAGTTGTATCATAATTGACACAACACCATGTCTTTTGCAATTCTTGAAAGCTGCTTACCGTGAAAAAGTATTTCATTATCTCTGGCATAGGAACTAGGTGGAACAGGAACAGCAAAGAGATGTTCAATAAAGAAGCTCTTACCTAACTTTAATTTTTGCCTGGTCACAGCAGTTTTTGGCCTGTGCAATTATGCATCGACATGTACAAGCATGTTTAATACATAGGCTATAAGCCTGATGTGTCATGAATGCAAGCTTTGATTCAGTGGCTTAATGCTTTCAAAGGCAGATTTTGGAAGCTGATTAAAAAACGTTGGTCTATAGGATACCATGAGTGATGTAACAAGTCAGCTGGAAGGTGGCCTACAGGAGTTAATTAAATCCTTGGAAAATGGCCAAAGGTTTTCTGGAAGATGCCTTTTAGACACCAAGGCGTATCGTGAGGACAAATCAGTTGCTGTGTTTCCAGTACACCCTCTTTGGGAAACAAAATGCTTTGATTACATTACACATTGATGTACATTTATAGGCTAATGACAGTACATTGTACATTTACCGGTAGTCATCATCCATGCTGTATTCATAACGTCCTTGTACTTCATGGCGATTATTGAACATGCAATTAGTGCCTCAAAATGGGTCACGTACATGTAGATGTAGATGTACATGCTATTTGTTCCTAGTTGCGGGAATATAATTGATAAGGTCAGCTGCTAGTAGATAATTTAGACTTTCTCCTCAAATAGGGGTCCTGTTAATGAAGGTAGAGGTACACATGTACTGAACAACAAATATATGGTATAGCCTGCATTCAAATTGTACAATGCATGAAGGCATAGAACATACATATAAAGTGTATGTCAACTTTGATTCATGTAGACATAAAACTTGTAAGAAGTGTCTGATAGTTGTATTATTATAACATTGGGAGGCTGAAGAAAAAAATGAGTTAAGTCTTAACATATCAAAAGGTCAAAATCATACTGAAGTACTTGAACTACGTGAAGTATTTAAATTATTTCTGAGTCTGTATTGTGACATTTGTAATTAATATGTACTTGAGTTCTCATAAGTAAATTTCCCTGCATGTGGTAGTTGCTATACACAGTCTCCCCAGACCTGTTGTAAAAGTTACACAATGTAGGTTGCAAGATTCCCCAAAGGTAGGAAAACGTGCTATACAGTATATACTTTCTACATCTGAAACTCCACTGGTCTTATCCATGATGGCAAAGAGACTTTTTAAAATTTTCTTCATGAGAGATATACTGATTTATTTATTTTTACTTGGGAAAATGACTGGTTACTTACATGTACATGTATATATACTTTACAGTCTCATGAATAAGATATTTATAGTATAAAAATTGGACTACCCAGGTATCAACATTTGATTCCCTTTAAAACAAAAATAAAACATCAATGTAATTCATGAACACTGCATCTACAGTACATTGTATAGTTTTTAGACTAAGGTTTATTTTTAGGTATGGTATTACACTTGAATAATAGGTGGTATTTGGAAAGGGTTAATTATGAGAAATATGCCACATGTTGTTTCAAACTAGTAATTCATAAAAACAGCATCTGATCTGATCTGCAGATTTTCTAATGGACCATTTAATCAATTTCAATTCATAAATCTTTGTTAGGTGTCATGTAACAAACGAATTCATTCACCTTTTATGAATGATTGTATTTCAATAGTCAGAATGCGAATTGAATACCGTAAATTAATTGTTTCTAGGTTCAGTAGGACAAACATTATGGCTTGTCCTACCCTTTCTGACTATTGAAAGACAATATTTTAACAGTTAAATGAAATAACTCGTAATGATGAGGCACTTAACAAAGGTTTGTGCATTCAATTTGATTACATTACGAAAAGTCATATTGAGGACAGACCAGAATATTCCTACTTGCCTGTTTTTAAAATCTAGATTCTTGATTGAATTGAGAATTGGATAAGTCCCACAAGTCGAATGAGTCAAATCTTAAAAAAGAACATCAAACTATGCAAAACATGTGTTACATGTATATACATTTCCGGAGTCCAATTTGGCAGAAGTTGCACTATTTCTTGCAATCTCGACAGATTCAGTGTATTATCTATTTTCTTCTACTTGTAAATCTATTATTGACTTTTAAATGCATATTTACTTGAAATAAAATGACGTACCATCCCAGCATGTAAATGCATTCATTGTATCCCCTCTCTTTTACTTCTTTCTCCTCTTGTCTTTTGCAGATTTCCGTTGATGTGTGAAAGTTAGAGTCAGAAGCAGGCGCTCAACAGGAAGCCACCACCATGGCAACTACATCACCAGCATGGATGCTGTCATTAGCATACCTTCTTGTTTTATTGTGTAAAGAGTGTCATTCGTTAACAGGTAAGAAAAAAAGAAAGAGTAGATAATATTTGAGCAAAAAGAAACAAACCTACAATGAAACATAACAGAGCACATACACTGTACAGACAAAACAAAAGAGAACAAAGTACTAAAAAAAGAGAAAGAAATAAGTACTAAAAAAAGAGAAAGAAATAGAGGACAAAAAGGAGAATGAAGTACAGACATGTATGCATAGTTGAAAGTAAATAATTAGATATTCAGTAAACAATCTAACATGTTAAACCATGGGCTGCATTTTTGTGGTGGTATGTTTTTAGAAGTATGATTAAAGATAAACTTGAGTTCTGGTAATGCGATTGCGTTGTGAAAGAAAAGGTGTGGAATGGATCAGAAAAGTTGATCATATAGCATACATAATGCAAGGTTCTGGAGTCATCATTCAAAATCATCATAAATTTGGCAGAGTCTTGGTAAAGTTACAATCACTTACACAGAAAGATGTATATGGGACAACACACATGGTGTCGGGGCTAGTACTACCCTGATTTCCTTATCTTTCTATGCTCATTACTCAGCCAGTATACATTTTTTTCCAAAATTGTTTGGCACATGACATTTATTTGTAATCTTGAACATTCAGTGTAATTTTCGTTAGATTCTGTGAGAATTCATTTTCTTTTTTTTACCAGAACTGAAGTTTATCTTTAAATAGCAGGACGACAATGCCCATAAGCTCTAAATATGGATTTGATAAAAAAAGTAATTTACACACAAAGTACAATGATCACTATTTATGAATATATATGCTTGATGCTTGAAATTTAAAACAGGTAGACCGGTCAATAAACACCCCAATGGGAATACCCCTCCAATCAATATGAATTTCATATTTATTTGTTTGTTCAGTATTTATTAACCTAAAGTCCTCCATTCTGAAACGAAAAACAGTTCCATCATACCAATACACTCATTTTCATTCAAAGCAATTATAGTTTCCAGAACATTGCACACATAGTACAATGCACTGTGTACGATTGAAACTTGTGTTTTAAAGTTGATGTTTATTGATTTTAAAAACTAACTTAATTTCATTATTGCAAAGTTGAAACGTTGATTCGACAAGGTTATCAAAATTCAATGCTTGGAAACATTCGAAATAATGATTATTATAAATTATAAAACGCTTAAATACAGCCCCGTCATAGCACCTGAAGAGCTCCCCGAACGCTGCTGAGATGCGTGAGATCACAGTATGGACATGACTTGCACAAGCAGACGATGTCCCATGACATCTCACACATTTTCAGTGCCTGTGTTTTCATCTTTTCTTGAGTTCTTTCTCTTACTCCACTACCGTCAGGCTAAATGTATAATCTATTGCCTCACTCTTAACCCCGCACATGGTTTTATTTTGATGACAAATGCAGCGATACAAAAATAAAGGAATTTGTCGCTTGTAAACAAATAAGACGCCATTGAATATTCAGCTGGACACACCGCGGTATGTTCGGCGTTTCAAGAGGGAACAAATGCCGTCCTCAACATCGTTCCGGGGGTTTTCAATTCGAAAGTCTGGTTTCTTTGACTGTTAATTAACCCCTATCCTGTGTATTTACAAGCAAAAGATTTTAGTTATCGGAATCGGGTCATATCCCCTTTTGAATGGTTTGACATGCCATCACATTTATATACACTAAACTCATTATAATTTGACAAATAAAAGCTTTGCAATTATGTTCATTCTCTATGGGATGTCGTCTGCTTGGGCAGTATTGGTCCATATAGTGACGTCATTAAAACATCTTTATTTTTCCGGCGAATCTCTCGTATATCCCAGCTGCTATGCCGGTGGTTGTATTTGTATTTTTATAAATCACCCGATATGTAGTTGACCTAAAACTTGTACGATGGCCATCTGTTAGCTTACCAGTTTCTAGTCATACATTAGTTGACATATTTGTGATTTTCTTTGAAGTTCAACTTTAAAATAGAGTAGAGCAGTAGATAGACACCACAGAGGAATCCATCAATCAGTATAAATGTCATATTATTATGAGAGTTGACCTTGCTTGCTATTATAAACCTAAGAGGTTAATGGATTTACCAGTATGAAAATAATTGAGCTGGTATTGATTTGTATTTTGGGACCAGTGCATTAAAGGTTCTCCTTGATTGGCTGACATGTATGTATATTAAAATAGAAAACTTATAAATAGATCAATTAAAATGAGGAAATGCAAAGTTCATAGCCAGAGGAAGTAAATGTTTCATGTAATTATAGTTCCTGTGTACATTCAGGGAAAGCACAGAGAAAAGTTGAACAATTGGATAAAAAATATGCAATCGTCATATTATGTTAATGTCATGAGAGTTATGGACAAATTCTATTTATGACAGCCCCAAATCCATTTTCAGCATTGCCTGACATGTATGTATAAATAGAAAAATGTAAGTGAGGAATTGCAAAGTTCATAGCCAGAGGAAGTATATGTTTATGCAATTATAGCTTATGGGGTCCTGTAGACTCAGGGAAAGCACTGAAAATTCCTGCTGAGAAAAGTTGAACAATTCAATAAAAAAATTGTACTCCTATCGTCCTATTATGTTAGATGAGATGTATTTATTTTCAGTGATATCCAGATATATCATGAAAGTTATGACCAAATTCTATTTACATGTATGACAGCCCCAAGTCCATTTTCAGCGCACTATATTTATAAATAGTTTTCTCTTATGTTTATTATTGAGGAAGTAAATGTTTCATGCAATTATAGGGTACTATAGATTCAGGGAAAGCACTGAAAATTCTGCTGAGAAAGGTTGAACGATGGGATACAAATTTTGTAATCCCATCATGTTACATGTATATTATCTTAAATGTATTTATTTTCACTGATATCCAGAATATCATGAAGTTAAGTTAAGAACAAATTCGATTTGTGACAGCCCCAAATCTATTTTCAGATTTTCAGCATACTATATTTATGAATAGATTCCTCTCATTGTTTACTATTATTGAGGAGGTAAATGTTTCAAAAAATTGTAGCATAAGGGGAAATATAAAAGTTATGAACAAATTTTATTAATGACAACCCCAAATCCATTTTCAGCATACTACATTTATGAATAGATTCCTCTCATTATTGTTTACCATAAACCTTTGCTTTTCATGCCATTTTGTATCAACCTGTTTTTGATTCTCTATTTCACCTCTTTTCTTCTTCCCCCTCCCATAATATGTTTTGTTACTGCTCTCTCTGCATCGAGCTGTTTACATCTGTCATTTTTGTTTACCATAAACCTTTGTTTTTCATGCCATTTTGTATCAACCTTTTTTTTATTCTCTATTTCACCTCTTTTTTCCTCCCTCTCCCATAATATGTTTTGTTACTGCTTTCTCTGCATTGCACTATTTACCATTTTTTCCATGCCTTCTCTTCTACTTGTCTTTTCTCTGTAGAATACAACCTTCATTTAGAGCAAGAAGAAGCGATATACAATCCTGAATTCAGAGAAAACCATGTACATCGGACAGTCCGACAAGCAGTAGACAATACTCCAGTTACAGAAAATATCACAACAGTGGTAAGTACATTTGAAGATCCTCTCCTCGGAGCCAGAAGGGCAGTAAGTCATGTTCTGTTTAATACACACAGATTAAACACCCTACTGTCTTCAGACAGAGGAAATGTCAAAATATCCAAAAGAAATGTAGCTGTACATATATAAAGTTACAAATACAAATTTGTTGCAAACACATATAAAATAGGCGTGAAAGAGGATAAAAAGAGAATTTAGATGTCTAGTCAAGTGTTCTGTCAGGACTTTGATTTTTGAAAAAAATTCTGTGCAATTAACATATTACATGTACATACAATGTATATTGAGATACTATGTTCAACTCGGCTACTATAAATGATACAAACATAATCCTTGAATCTCCTTTCTACAAATAGCCATACTCATTTTTTTTTATGAATGAGGTTTTTTCTCTCGATTTCTATAATACATGTAGTTCACTTTGGTGAAATGTTTTGTACTGCATGCAATTTTATTTGAACACAAGACAACGAATGTACACAGTACCTATGAGCTATGTACACATTGTACACAGAGTAGGCAGTGTGCGTTAGCCGGCCTCTCACACCTTCCTCCCTCCCCCTCTCTCTTTCCTCCTTCCCCCTCCCTCTTTAGTCTCTTCCTGTCGCCCCTGTCAGACCCTGTCAGACGTCAAACCAAATTAGCACATTAACGTCACGAATTGAGTTTGATCTTTATACGTCTGCAACTCTCTGACTCAGCTTACCTTCAAGTGTGTGCGTCGTATTACGCATGTAATCCTATTATATTGCCAGTGGGTCTGAAGTACACATGTACTACTCAGAAGAATACTCAAACCACATTTTGCAGTACAGTGTGTTTGTATGTCGAGTTATTTTAGTAGATGATATTCTATTTTAGGGAAGAGGAAGAGAAGAGAACATGAAAAGTTATCATTTTTAACTCACTCTTGAGAAATACACAGAATAATGATGATGATAATGATAATAACAACAGCAACAAAAATAACAACAATGACAATAGTAATGTTAGTAAAAATAATAGTAATGATATATCTTGTTTACCCAGGGTAGCCTCATCATCTATGAGGGCCCTGCAATCATATAATTTCTCCGGCTTTTACCAAGCTTCCATGACAAGAATGTGAATTTTGATTTGATTGATATTGATGAGGAGATAAAGGGGTGGGGTGGGGTGGGATGGGATAGAGGGAGGGGTGGGGGGGGGGGGGGTCAGAAAAAGGAAACACCACAGATTTGTACAGAGGCAAAATACATTGATAATATTTGATAAAAAATAAAATCATATCATTTACATGTACCCTTTAAAGAATTTTCACACACTCTTCTTAACATAAAATACAATATTTTGATTATGTTTGCACACAGAATGGTACATGTACAAGCAATAAAAACTGCAATATTTACATGGATGTCATTACTTGTATACAAAGTACAAGCAATTGATGATATCAGTTTAGATAAGAGTTCAGTTTTTTAATAACGGTGTATTGGAGAAGAGGAAATATGAAATACCAGTGATTAATACTGGATCATAGCATGATCGCATGACGTGATGATCAGGTTACTAAAATATCCCTGTAGGCCTGTTTTCATCAGCTCGAGATTGCCAAATATCGAGATATTTGGTCAAGATAATCATCCCAAGATATCTTGGGCTAATTTGCAAAATATCCCGCTATTTGTCCGGTGCGTCTTCAACAGCCCTAAGACTTGCACTATGCACGAACCCTGAGCAAAATATCTTGAGCTTATTCCTCGAGCTCGAGTTTCAAGTTTCGAGGTCAAGTCTCGAGCTGAATAAGACGCGATTTTGTAACTTCAGGATTATTTCCGAAATCAGAAATAGCGGGCTATTGGGCAATCTCGAGCTGATGAGGACAGGCCTAGTGACTATAGCCAAGGGATCGAAGGGTATCACCGTGACAGAGATCAATTTCAAAGCTGTTCCATATCGAAATGGGATATTGCACAGAATTAGCTTTGGAAATAGATCTGCCTTAGTTGACCTCTTCAATGAACTTTCAGTGATTTGAATCTACATGCATGTAAACAAACGGCGGTGACCTTTAGTAAACACATCTATGTAGCTACATGTATATCAATTCATGATTCTATGCTTTTTGACAAGTGTGTTGCGATGCTTGCTTTTTTGGTCCTCTTGCTTTTTTTTTTAGTCTTCTTGCTGTCTAGAACACTTTGATTGATATCATAACCCCCAAACAGTTTGTTAAAGATAAAGACCAGTTATGGTCATGCGATTGCATTGTGAAAGAAACGTTGTGAAATCGATCAGAAAAGGTTGATCATCTAGCATAGATGTACTGCAAGGTTCTGGAATCATCGAAATGATAAAAAATTTGGCCCAGTCTTCATAAAGTTACAAGCACTGTACACAGAAAGATGTATATGGGACTACGCACACGTGCGGGACACGTGCGTTTTTATCTCTCACAGTCCAATAGATAAACTAATTTACCAAAATATATCAAATAGTAGGCAGTTTTCCGGCAAAATTTGTATCATCATGTATTATTCAAAACATATTCTTTCACATGATTGGTAATAAGAACTTCCATTTCATTTTTTGAAATTTGGGCGTTTCCAATACTGGTCTTAACCTTTAACCCATTGACTACTGAGTTGTCTTGTTCCCAACGGCATAGTAAAGGATCAACCCGGATCTTGTACGCAACAGGTTAAAATATGATTTCAAAAATCTATAAATAATAAATTAGGAAGCAGAGGAATGTCACGATTATGATGGAAAAGCTGCTAGGAGTAACATGAGAGGATGAGGGAAGGTTGAATAAGAAAGGAGATGATGAAATTGAATCTGTCCCAAATTGTTTATGCAATTATTATGGTCTTATTTACTTTGAAGCATATACAGTCAAACCTGTATATGATTGAAGACCACTCAAGGGAGACAAAATAAATGGCCTTTACAAAACATGTTTATAGGCAGGTGGTCTTTATGTACAGGTTACTTTGGTACATGTTCTAATAAGAAACTACTGTACAAGAGGAAATGAATGTTGTGGTATTTATAATAATAATAATAATAATCCGGTTTTTTATATAGCGCTCAATACACCGATCCAACGATGTACCTAAGTGCTTTACAGATATATTATTACCCCGGTCATCGGATTCAGGCTTACCCGCACACAATGTGTGCACAATTTCCACTCCCTGGGGAGCATTTATAGACAAGTTTGACTGTATAAAACACAGCACTCCTACAGGTAATCTTACATCATCCAAAGGGTATGATTAATCCCAACAGCTGATGCCTATTTAACTATTTACTACCGCTTACACGTACGTCAGACCATGTATACACCCTCTGTTAATACCACATTACTAACCACTTGCCTCCCACCAATCTTTCAACAGGATAATCATAATTACTACAGTGTGGCGTACTACTCAAGCGTTAATAACGAGGGCAATCGTCGTTGGGTCGATCTGACGAAGCTTAAAGCCAAGAAACATCCAAACTTGTCGACCAACCCAAGATTAGCTGCAGTAAGTAACATTTAAATCTCAAGGGCTGTTCCTACACCCGTTGTTTTATGTGGTGCTGTGGAAAACAATATATAATGGCCACTTACATTCTGCATAGTAAATGTGTACATCCTGAATGGAGGTCTTTCAAATTCCAGGATCATTGTACTTTCAAATATACATCCTGGTTTCTCTCAGTTTCACTTTCATATAAGTTGAGGTAAATTCCATAATTACTTCCTCTTTTTCTTGTTTTTTTTATAAAAACAAATGAATTGACCTTGTTATGTTAAATGTTTGATACATGATACATCTCTGTTATTGAGATTAGTACTGTTAGGCCTGTATGAAGGTACTTGAAAATATCAGTTTCAGAGTTCTTTGCACTTTTGCAGGCACCAACCAATGTCCTTCAAAGACAAGATCTGCATTATTTAGGTTGTGTAATAACATGTGAATGGTCCTTGTACTATAGTTGCAGGGTCTGCACTTACCTATTAGCTTATAGGGTCCGGATTGAAATTGATGGGGTCAATGGGCTTGAGCAGCCCCTCCGCCCATTAAAACTTTGATTGGGGGGAGGTGGAGTTAAATAATGGGGGGCGTCAGCCTATGTGCACCAGACCCTGATAGTGTCAAGCCATGTGCAGTTGCTTAACATAACCAACCTTTATGAACCCCACTCAGCTTTGCTTCAAGACTGAAGAAAATATGTTACGTTTGTGTCAAATTAAGAATTTATGCTTTCAGACTGCTCACAGAGGGTCATTATAAAAAAGAATATGCACAAGGTTTTGCAAAATTACATACAATGTTGATTTATATGTCATGGCATTATTAAAGGCCAAGTCCACTCCAGAAAAATCAGACAAACCAATCAAAAAAAAGTTTGAGTAAAATCAAATAACTTTCTCCTTCTATTTTAAGTAAGTTATTTTTGGAATGGACTTGGCCTTTAAAGGGATTTCTTGCAATTAATGGAATTATACTTCATTGAAATTTAATTATCACATTTTCTTTACTCTCTTTCAGAAACTGCAATTAGAATTTGATTTTCCCTACTATGGACACAACGTGACAGAGTTGTTCTTGACAACAGGAGGTAAGGATGAATTCTTGCAAACTTTTCTATCACATAATGCTATACCTTATTCCTTGGTACCTTGCTCTTAATAAAATTAATTCATTGAATTGTATGACAACCTTGTTGAAAAGAAAAATGGAAGGAGGAGTCTCAGAATATATAAAAAGCTGCTGAGAAATCCAATCCAATCCAAAATATATTTGATATAGCGCCTTTTCCTTGCAGTTTCAAAGTGCTGCACACACCGCTCCACAGTGTTTAGGCCATTTATAAAACAAAAGTTAGTCACTTCTCAGAGATCAGTTAAGTTTATGTAGGCTGATTAATAAAGTAAGCCATTGTGCCCTTCTTTTTTTGTTAAAGAGCAAAATTAACTAATAGAGTGTTACCAATTTGAGTTTCCCCTAGAAGTCCTTATTTAATGATCATTATAATTTAAATAATTCATCAGATTTTTTTTAGCACCCGCATATGCTTCTATTCAAAGAAACAAGCTCGAGGTCCACTATATTCCTGCCATATTTGTAATTTCTTACAGCCATTGTCGAAAACCAGCGATATACATATATGTTAACAAGAAGTATTTTCATTTCACTTGAATCTATGCAGGTTTTATGTACCTGGGCTCCTATGTTCATCGATATTTGGCAGCGACACAATACATTGCCCCTCTTATGGCGAACTTTGACCCCGCAGCATCAGTTAACTGCTCTATAAAGTACTTTTCTAATGGTGAGTATAGATATGACAAAGAAGAAGAGACTTCAAATTGTTATATGAGACTTCAAATTGTTATATGAGACTTCAAATTGTTATATGAGACTTCAAATTGTTATATGAGACTTCAAATTGTTATATGAGACTTCAAATTGTTATATTAGACTTCAAATTGGTCTTTTAGGTCCTCTACTACGAAATAAACATACTGGTTTAGAAGAACTTGCAGCAGGATCAAGAAACATGGAAATATCCAAGGAAAACTAGAGAGCTCTCACACAGTGCAATCTGAGGTGCCACTCAAAAAATTATCATGGAAAACTCACATCGATAATATATGCAAAACCATTTCACGAAACATCGGTATTATCAATAAACTCAAATACTTTCTTCCTTCTCGAACTCTTCTTACATTATATCATACCTTAATATTACCATACATTAATTATGGGATTATAGCATGGGGATGTGCAATACAAACACAATTAAATAGGATCCTACTGCTGCAGAAAAAAGCACTCAGGATAATATTTCAAACACAATTCAGATCTCATACAGATATTTTATTTTTCGAAAATAATATTCTCAAAGTGAAAGATATCTATGTGTTCCAACTCGGCCAATTTATGTTCAAACTAAGTAAAGACGACCTCCCCGCAATTTTTTCCGATATGTTCTGCAAAAATGCCTCTGTACACAATTACCCGACTAGACAACGGAACTGTTATCACTTACCCTTAACACGAACATTATTTGCACAGAATTCATTTGTCTTCGCTGGATGTGCCTATTGGAATTCTCTTCCCAACGATATAAAAGAAGCCCCTAGTCTTAGCAATTTTAAACGTAAACTTAGGAAAACATTAATCAGCCAATACTCCCCACCAACAAGCCAAGCTCAAAAATCTAAACCTACGGAAAGATAAAACAAATCTTTCCTTTTGTTATTCCTCCTTTCCTCCTTTTTTGTTTCTTTTTTAAGAATAATCTAAACAAGCCTAACGACCTGGTGGTGTACCTGCCTCCTGTCCCCATCTCCTTCTTCCTGCCTTTCTCTCGCTCTCTATTTCTCTCTTGCTCTCTCCCCTTTCCCTCTCTCTCTCTCTGTTACTATATTTATCTTACTTTTATTTTTACTTTTACTTTTTTTTTTTTTTTGTATTCCCTTTTAGTGTGTTTTACTGGTATTAGCTTTCGACCATAATTATTTAAGCGTATCCATGTAACTAAGTCAGGGGCTTGCCTCATACAAGCTCTGCTTTTTTAGCAAGCCCCTCCGTTTTGAATTACTTCATCAAGGTCATTTTTTTTCCTATTGTTCAGTACTGTTTTTTCCCAATATTTCTTATCAACTAAATTTTGTTCTACATAATACTGAATTTACTTTGTTTATATTATATTTGACTGTATTATATTATGTCTGTTTATATTTTGTTTGTTTTGAAACGGAAATAAAATCTGAAATCTGAAATCTAATCTAACAAAAGAAAAGAAGATTGAAGTAAAGACCCCCCCCCCCCCAAAGGAAATTATTCAAACAAATTCATAGACATTTATCATCATGTCCAGAGGTAAAACAAAATTTATGTCAATTCCTGTAATATGTTATCATCCTTAGGCTTGCACTATATTTTAAAGAGTGATTCTTTTTTTTTTTGGGGGGGGGGGGGGGGGGGGAGGAAGTGGTGATGGTTATTAATTTCTTTTATAAAGAGGGAATGATTTCTGTGAGGTAAATTGTTTTTATTTTTACTCTTGCCATCATCTCCAGCCTCCCTGTTCATTTCTGAATGGACCAATATTCAGCTTGGAGACAACCCGACCGCTGGTCTCTTCTCCTTCCAAAGCACTTTGAGGGACAACGGACAGATAACCTTTGCATACAAGCAGGTAAGTGCAAGTAGATTAAAGCCTCACGGCACTACTTATAGCTACTTGCGCCCTCTATATAGCAAACAATGCCTAATCGGTGACCATTGATCCCCAATGGTCCCCTTTTTCTTATGTCAGTTGAGAGCTGCTTTGATGAGATAACCACCTGTCATTGACCATGCAGGGAGGTCTAATCCCTGCTGGCCAAACTAGTGCAGTGGGGCTTTAATGTTTCTGAATAAGGAAAAAAAGAAGCAAGAAGAACATTGGCCAACTCCATATAAATGGATCTATACTTATAGCAGCCTATTGTTCCTGTTTTTATTTCCCATTTTAATGCCTTCAAAGTAGTGCTATGAACCCCAAATTCCTTGTTGTTTTCTGAAAACATCTGTCCAAAGTGCACATAGAATGCACTGTATTCCTTCATTTTTGCTCAGGAGATAATTTGCTGTAGAAGGTTTGCTGGTATTTGAGTTCATAAATATCACACCATTTAGAAATGAAATTCTCTCGCTAATTAATGGAGAGCCTAATCTTGTCGGCTTGATTTGAATAGTAGCTGAAAATGAGAGGAATGTGTCTGAAAATGATAAATATCTGAATATGGGGAATTTCCCTTTACAGGTTTTACCTATGGTACGGCTGCCTTAGCTAGGGATAATTGTAATGGTAATGACAATGATAATTATTTCATATTTTATGAAGAATTAATGATTTCTGTGATGACAAAAATGTTGATTAAGATGACAATGATAAAGATAACAATAATTATGATTTCTCTGATGATAATAATGATGATGAAGATGATGGTTATGATAATAATAATAATAATAATTATTCTGATGATGATTATAATAACAACAACTAGAACAATAATATAATGTATATAATCGATTCAGAATGATAAATGAAGCAACAAACAAACAAACACATTAATATGTCTTTGTTTTGTTTTTTTGTGAACAGATTCCAATCCCCATTGCAAGTATCTCTGACGAGGCTCACCCTATGAAGATGGGCATTGCTGATGCTTTCTACATCGATCAGAAGCTGAGCCAGTGTAAGTGACACTCCCCATGAATGCAGTAGTATAGAAGTTTGACAAAAGGGCATGTCAAAGCTATGTTGTCCCTTACTTTATCGACCACATCCTATACTTCATGTACATTCAAACCTGTCTATAACAACCGCCCAAGGGAAACACAAACAGTGGTCTTTGTAGACAGGTTCCATTAGTACATGTTTCAATGAGAAACCATTTTCAAGGGAAACACAAAATGTGGTCTTTGTAGACAGGTGGTCACCAAAGCGGGTTTGACTTATGTATAAAGGATTTGTTAGTTTGCAAACCTTATTAGAGTGTGTGGATCAGACAAAATGTAATTGAAAAATGATGATAATAATACGAAAAATACTTTTGCTGTCACTGTATATGTTTATAATACAATAATTAAGTATGTGGCACCAACTGATCAAATACTTTTGGCTTGCCTACAATGTACAACAGTGTTTTGTACTGTCACAGATGCTGGTAGTAACTTAATGCGACCATGTCATGTAGTTAAGGATAGACTTCATGTGTAGATTCAATTAATCATCCAAATCTTGTCAACTAATCATATGTATTAATCAGGGTTATGTTTTTGTAACTGAATATTTCTAACCTTGCAACTCCTGGTCTTTTGGTGCATTACATCTAAGCTCATAGATTGATTTCCATTTTTGCTTGTTGCCTTCAGTTGTTTAAAGATACCAACATATGTTTCCTTATTCAACTTTGAATTCCAAAAGAGTTCAACATTGGTCAGAGAACTCTTGATTTATATCTTATTTGGAGATGTATCATCATGCATAAAACTTGTACAAATGTTGTAAGTTCAGAAACAATTAAATCCTTCAAATTTCCTTCATTATGCGAAGCAGCTGTAAACAAGAAGATTGTCAGTTGTAAAATGAATCTGTAAATAACAATGCTCTCAATGTTATAATAAAGAAATGCAAGTAATCTCAAGCACACTTTTTCCATTGTGTTTTACCCCCATTACCAACACATTACTAAATTAACACAAAATCTTCAATCCTTGTTTTTTAATTTTTTTATTTATCATGGCTTTACTCATGACTTAAAAAATGATTATTATCTTACAGGGATCAAGAAGAGAACTATATATGAATACCATCAAGTTGCCTTGAATACAGCATTGGTAATCAACGCTACTGCCGTCACAATCACTCCACTTCCAAGTAAGTTGTCCTGTGCTCTATCATAGAGTTTGATCTTCATATATCAATTTAGTAAGCCAACTTAAGCATAATTACTTACTGTTACCCATTGTGATGTCACATTAAGATATTGCGCTATAAGCTCACCGTATTGAATGCATGTTTATGTAATTGCTTATGGGTAGCGGATTATGAGTTGCGTATGTATGAAAACCACAAGCCTGCCAGTCAAGGCTTCCCAAAGAATTGGCTCTGCCATGGAGCTGTGTTAAACTTGGGGTAAAGTACTTATAGTCAAAAGCTTCAACCTAATACCCCCAGTTGGCTCCATGCCCATAACTGATTAAAATTCTCACGTTTCTGACTTCTGCATTGAATTGAACACCAGTCTGGGGGTTATTTCACAAAGATCCTAAGTTGAACTTATCTCTAACTTGGACCTAACAACTATGGAAAACCATTAGCATCTATGATAATATTTTATACAAGTTATTTTAAAGGGCATAAAATGTTGATTTAAATTATTCATATTTTCTATTATCAAGGAGATTTCATGTTCTTGATGTGGAATTAACAAAAAGTCTAAAATACTTGAATTTTCGCTTTTGAATGTATTTTTTTTATGGCTACAAATTGCTCTCCATAATTTTAAATTCAATCTTAGAGTTAAGTTGACTTAGGATTTTTGTGAAACACCTCCCTGATTCATCAACTCTTTAAAATCTCCGTCATCAAACGGCTACTAACTCTTAGAGACTTTGGTGGCTACAAGCGCTTTATAAGCACCGTTTTTATGCCTCCGTTACGAAGTAGCCGGAGGCATTATGTTTTCGGGTTGTCCGTCCGTCCGTCTGTACGTACGTACGTACGTCCCGTTCTCGTGATCGCGTTATCTGAAGAACCGATTGATGGATTCCTGCCAAACTTTGGTCATGTATGTATCTTGCAGAGCCGATAAACTGATTAGATTTTGGGGTTACGAGGTCAAAGGTCAAAGGTCACAGGGCTCATTATGTATGCAAAAACAGCTCGTGATCGCGTTATTTGAAGAACCGATTAATGGATTCCTGCCAAACTTTGGTCATGTATGTATCTTGCAGAGTCAAAGAACTGATTAGATTTTGGGGTCATGAGGTTAAAGGTCAAAGGTCACAGGGCTCATTATGTATGCAAAAACAGCTCGTGATCGCGTTATCTCAAGAACCGAGTGATGGATTGCTGCCAAACTTAGGTCATGTATGTTACTTGCAGAGCAGATGAACTGATTAGATTTTGGGGTCACGAGGTCAAAGGTCAAAGGTCATGGGCTCATTATGTATGCAGAAATAGCTTGTGAACACATTCTCATTAGAACTGACAGATGGATTACTATTTAACTCAGGACATCTTGCAGAGCCAATGAACTGAGTAGATTTTAGGGTCATGAGGTCAAAGATCAAAGGGTCATATATGTAAATGAGAAATTGCTTGTAATCACGTATTCTGAGAGCCTGTTAATGGATTACAATTGAACTTGAATTCGAAAAATGTGTTCTGTTTTGGTTTGTAAAATTGCTCTATGACGGAGGCATCATTTTCGACTGCGCGCAGTCGAATTCCATCTAGTTATTATTATTATTATTATTATTATTATTACGTTCTAATTGTCGTTCTAATTTACCTCTTTCTTTAGCCTGTAACCTGCATATGGATTGTGAGTCTTGTGCTAACAGTCAGATCTACTTCAACTGTACGTGGTGCTCCACGGCTAAACGCTGCTCAGACGATGGCCTCGATAGACATAGACAAGCATGGATTACATCCCAGTGTGACAAAGATGTATGTAATGAATTCATTTCTTCCTCTCTTTTTGGATGGTAGCACTTTCCTTTTTAAGAGCAGGAATGCGCACTATTTTTGTAGGGGTTTGAATTGAGTTTTTATTAAGGCCTGAATGCACAAGCCTCCTATTAGAACTACAATGAAATTAGGAGGAAGGGTCTGGTCTGGAGAGAAATTTTGAGGGCTCATTTGTACCAGACCCCTTTTAATTTAGAGTCCTGCTTTTAGGTAACTTGGCAAAGGAGGTGCTACGGCTCAGTGGTAGAGTAGTGGTCTCGTATCCGGGAGGCCCCGGGTTCGAGACCAAGTCGATGCGGTAGTGCCCTTTGGTAAGGCATTACACCTCATTAGCAAGCCCTTTGGAGAGGACTTAAACTGTCGGTCCCCTGGTTGCTTACTTACAAGCATACACATGATTTTTTAGCAGTCGGGTAAAACAAACAAGCACACACACAAAGCATAGTGACACAAAGATAGCTGCTTTAAGAAAAGTAAGGCAACATAATAATCACTAAATTTGTCTTTGTCTTATGTAGTATCTTTCTAACGAGCAGGTATGCACTATAGATAGGTCAAATTATGATATAGGATGCATGCCTGACCTGGTTTAATCAACATGGGTGAAGGGAAATTAACCCCCTTCTTCAAAGCCATATTCAGTTCTACTAGTTACCTCATACCATTGCCAGGTTGAGGGGGGAAGGGGGGGGGGGGAGGGAGCTTTGAAGAGTATAATGTCTGTTTTTTGTGCTTATTAATAATAAGAATGACAAGTCAGATTAAAGGCAAAACAAGAGAATATTTTGAAATAGTTTTAGGATGGGCCTGATCATTGTGGATTATTCGAAGAAGATGGAAAAATTTAATTTTCAATGCATCTTTTTTTAAAACCAGGTTAATACTGCTAATGTTCCATACAACTGCCCTCTTCCGACGATAAAACCAACGACCAGAGCCCCACGGTCTACTATGGGAAAACACCCTTCAATCTACACAGGTACGTAGGACGCTCTTGTGGGAAAGTATGTCATAGATTATCTTTAAGATAGTCTTTAAGATCACACATGAAACATGTTTAGATTCTTGAAAGGCTTTAACTTTCAGGTTTTGAAGGCAGTTGTTACCTGTGTCTTTTTTTTGCCATTAACATTTCAAATTTGTTGACATGAATGGTAGCACCTGATTTAATTCAGAAATGATGGAGGACAGATTTAAAAGCACTTCCTATACATCCCAGTCATAATCTACACAGAGAACAGTTGTTCCCATGTTGTTTGAATCCCCACGACTTTTATCAATATCTATTATGCTACCTTTCACTTTCTGTATACCCTTCAGCATATAGTGGAACCTCAGTATAAAGAGGTCTGATATAAAGGGTGATTGTCCAGGTCTGAGCTCTTTATAGTTTTTTGTTTTTTACCCTGATATAACAAGATTCGTGATATAACAATGTAACGAGCGTAACTGTATAAACAAAGCTTTCTTTATTATCAGTGTTGTACCTTTAACTTTTGTAATACCTCTCGTAGACAGACTCGTTATCAAATGATAATTTTCCTCCTTGTATTTCAGACTGCTCAGAAGGCATAGGTTGTCTGAATGGTGGAGCTTGCCGCTATGGAGAATGTATATGCCCTACAATGTACACAGGAAGGCGGTGTGGTAAATGTAAGTGAGATTTAAAAGTGAAAACGAATTACTGTTGGAATTCTTTTGAATTATAGACAAGTCGGTAATGTCACTCCATATGGCAGTAAGTCAATAATTACCGTTGGTGAAGGTGATGGGGAAAAACTATCACTTCCGAGGCAATCTGGATGTAGCTATCTTTCCGAAGCGAAGCCGAGGAAAGATAGCGTATACATTCAGATCGCCGAGGAAGTGATAGTTTGCCATCGCCTGAAACCAAAAGGTGATTATTTGCTTTATACTCTACATCGGAAACATTTCACTTCTTCTGTCATTTTAGAGAAACGAATCATCATTTAACAGCTAGCAAACGGTGTACGATACGTACAGTGCATGCAGTACTAACGTACGTACGTATACGCAACGTATACAAGAAAGTACTTCTATCTTCAGTGAAAGTGCGTTGTACTGTGTACTATCTACATAGTGCAACAAAATTTTCTTCTCCCATCAATGATGGGCGAACTATCTTTCATCACATGATTTACTTTTGACCAATCGTAGCGCAAGATTCTTTGTATGTGGAATATAAAACATAATATCAATCCATCACAAGACACAACACGAAAATGAACACCTTTTTTTGTTGATTTTTTTCGCACCACAAATTTATTTTACACATTGCAAAACACACTAAAAAACATTGATGTTTTGCCACTTTGTCATATGCTTCTCAATTTTTTTTCTTCATCCGTGCAATAATGCCTTAGTGGACTTGTATGACACAATACAATATATGAAAGTCTGTATTATACTCTTATCTTGTGCAGACTCACCGAGGGGAGATGGAAACAACAAGGGTGGTCAGATGGCTCAGGCAGGTGATGGCTCATCCAAGGACGGTACCACTAATGCTCTGAGGATCGGGATCATCGCAGGGTCCATTGCCATTGGTGTTCTAGTCCTGGTCCTGGTCGGCTGGATCTTCTATGCCTACACCAACCCCAACACCAACTCTGGACTGTTCCTAATTGAGGTAGGTCGCTTGCTTTGTAGAGCAATTTCCGAGAATGGTGGAAATGCATAGCTGCTACCCTGTCTATTTTGGAGGAATAATTCCTGTTTTACATCCTTTAATGAGTGATATGAACTCAATATTTTTCTTGTTTCCTGAAAACATCTGGAAATCTTTGAGTGACCGGTTTTACAATACTCATTTTTCCCAATAGACTAGTGTTATAAAAACCGTTGGAAAAAAGATTTTTGAAATGTCTAATTCTAATCATAAATATCTTGATAATCAGACAGACGACCGGCTTGTAAATGTCATGGGATTCCTGACTGACCTAAATGTTTACAATTATGATTGCAGCATGAGCTAAATCCAGGATTTTGTTTAGACCCAATCCCTTTAACATATTTATATTGGCCCTTTACTCTCGTTTGTGCTACAGATCACAAAGTTTCGTCTGAGGAAGAAGGAAGAGAACGGCATCGGGTACCATTATCATAAACCAGACGACAACGAGGAGGTGGATATTATTATATGAGCAACGACACTTCCTCCAGAGGTATCTCACAACAAAAATATGTCATAGAAACAAAGGAGTTGGAAGCAACGTACCTCAAAGAGTTGCAATGCCTTTCTGCTTTTCAGCTCATACTTGGATGAAGAAGTTTTAAAAAAAAGCTATGATTTTGCCTTAAAATATGATTTTATTGATCAGAGGAAGTTGTGCGTTATTCTAGCTAGTCCTGTAGAATTATGTTGCTTACTATGGAGTCACGAATGAGAGGAATATCTTTATTCTGTGGTGTGGGTGAGAAATCTTGGAGTTCTGAAGGCTTTAGCGTTTAAGCAACTTGACGAGCCCGATCACCTGCATGATAAATAAAGTTGTTGTATGGAGAATGGAAATGTGCTTGAGTATACCATGTTTCTACTTGTTTCTTTCGTGGCTCCATGGTTTCTTCTCATCAGGCAAACCCTTTGGTTACATTGGCATTGTGGCAAGCAGATTTTGCTCCTCGCAATGAACCCTATCATACATTATTTGCAGGTTTTGTAAGTGTATCAACAATTTACTATTACAAGTTGTCGTTGCCATGGGTTTGTCTGTATGTGTAAAGCATAGATATTGGAAGATGCTGACCCAGTATTCCTTTTTTGTTTTTTGCGTAGGCAATCATTGCATTGAATTTACATCAAGCGACCAAGCAAGAGAGCTATTATAGTAGATCTGGGGGTGTTTCACCATGCCTTTTTTCAATGACAAATGACCAAAAAACAGTGACAAATCTGCTGATAACCAATCAGAAGCAAGGATTATAGTAGCTTATAACAAAAACTGTCATTTGTCACTGATGACAAGTTTTGTGAAACACCCCAAGAATTCTCTTGTTCATACTGTGTTTGAAATCTGAAAAATGGAATACTGGGTAAGAAGAAAAGATGCAAATAATTATTTTTTAAAACTATTGAAGTCCAGTTCTTTCTCCTGGCCCGGTGCTTGGATTTTGCATGGAAGTGTTTTGATCTCATACATGTCCAAAATGTAAGCTAATCTGAAGCTTAGGCTACAAGTTTGATGAACATATTGACCAAAAAAAATTGTATGAGAAGCATTCATTTTCAAAACCTAGCAATCTTTAATGGGGAATATATGTATTATTTTATTGCTTTGCTTTTCATTTCCATTAATTTGATCTTCAATTTTAATTCCTGCGTGTTTAATGGTGAGGAAATTGATCACTTGTGCAATTTTCTTTTCTATGATGTATTTTTAAATGAGATACCATGTGGATTGGTGTGTGCTTTGGGGGACAAGCATTGAAACGAAAGAGAAAGAACAAAAATTCATGATTGCAATAATTCTCCTGTAATGGAGATCCATGTTTGGTCTTCAGATTGTTACATTTTATGTATTTCTATTTCTGTTATTCTGTGAAATACTTTTGTGAAGAAAGGAAATTTTGTCTAAAAGGGAAAATCTTTATTATAGAGATAAATTTTCTTCTTTTGATTATAGTTTATGGGTTACATTGTCAATTTATTGCCTTTTAAGAAACAAATTTTGATGTTGTGCTCGGGGTTCTCATGTGTTATATATATATACTTTGCAGAGAAATATGACACATTTTTTGTTTTTCGGTTGTTAATAGCTTTGACTATTGGCACTTTGCAATTCATGGCTCTGATGACAGAAAATTAATTGTTAACCCTTTGTGGAACTGCTTATTTCATTGAAGCACAATAAGTGTTTATACTTTGATTCAAATTGATTTGTAAATATTGGCAGTTTTATACTTCCATCAAGTGAATGATTTTATATTCTTCTATGGATTGGATCATTTATTGGTCAAAATGTTGAATGTTGATACAATTGTGATAAAATACCATTGTACATTATTGTTTAAATTGGATACCTTGCCCTACGTGTATTGAAATGATTATTAGTTGTGTTTCTGATAAGTCATTAGTTTATGTATTCTCTTTGTGAAAAACAAATTTAATAGACAAAGCTTCATGTCAGCATGGGTTATTTTTTCTTAAATAGTAGATGACTAGGCCCAAGAGTTGAATTTTGCAAGCCAATCCTTTGTCTAATTAGCCCGACTAATGGCCATATAAAAAATTAATATTACGCGATAGCCTGTAATCTATTATTTCTATTGGCTCAGAGATCTGTTGAAATGAATTAATCATGTTGGTCATTAGACAAACTGATTATTACATTGATGAAATCTTGTTCCACATGTTCAATGCTTTCAATGCGGCATAGCAGCTGCAATCAGCTGCATTGCAACTTACAAACCTTAGACAAATTCTTTTTTTCATCCATTTGCTGTACATATTTCCTCCTTATTTTACACATCCCCCTCCCAAATGTGTATATTTTGGAACTATTTTGTAGTGCTGTCATGGTGGTACATTTGTGCAATGTATAGTACAAATTTTTTAATATATTTGCAATGTGATGAGTCACACTTTATTAGGCTTATGGCTCAAAATGGAATATCAGGGCTACTGTATATCTTTTGAATTTTTGAATTTAAAACGATCGGTTTCAAGTTGCAAGCCAAAGTATACATGTATGTGGCGGGCTACCTATGTGAATCTATTTTTACTTGAACAGACATAATAGAAATAGTAATGGAAACCAGGGTATTCAATGTAATTTCAATTTTGTATTCAAATAGATGTACCGATAATGTCGGTATATGACCAAGTAAATATAAATCTGTGTGATGCCTGAAAGTAAATGCCATTTTACTGAAAAATATCTGGGAAGCAGATACGTACATGTCGAGTGTACTATGAATTCAACGTTTTTGTGAGCTTGTGTTCATAAAAAATGTTGGATCTGGTATAATTTTTAGGAGATTTCTATCCTTGTATGAAATTTAATTTTTTTTTGTAACCCCCCTGATACATTTGGTAATGTATGGTTTTTCTCATGTCTTGATATTATTCAAGGTTATTTGAAGAAAAAAAAAATGTTTATTTCTAAGTTAGCATAGTCAGCTGAATTGTTTTGTGTTTAAGAGTATGGCAAAGATGCAAAGACTTCCAAAATACATGTTTAATCAAATTCAGATTATATACCCTATTATAACACTTATCTTTTCATTTCAACGTACCCAAGAAATGACTCCTATGTTAAATTATTTTAAGAAACCATCAGCTGATTAGTAATTTTTTAATTTTTTTTTGCTGGAAGTAAGGGTTCAATATAATAAGCAAAGTCTCTTGTATTATAAAGCCATGTCTTTCCTTCAGTGTTTATGTGCTCCTTTCTTTTTCTTCACACCTTGTTTCCGTTAATATACAACTTATATTTTGGAGCTGAATTAGTCAGGTATTAAAATTCAGTTTGAGAAATAAACAACATATTTTAGGTAAACAAAGAAGAAATTACTCCTATTGATAATTACTACATGTATGTAGCAATCAGAATGCACATTTTCTTAAACAGTAATTCAAAATGTGATGCTTTACAAAGTATGTGTATATTTTATTTTATTCTTGTTTAGAGAAAGTACATGTATTCTTTTTACCAGGCCTGTCTACAGGTTATAGGAAAAATGTATGTGTATAATTATGTACATTCATCTGTAAAGAGTTATACATAGTGAAAATGTGTTAAATTCCCATTTTCACCAAAAAAGTGTGAGCTTGAGCAAGCAAAACAATCATGCAGGTAATGTGGAGTTCTGGCAAGGATGGAAATATACATAATTAGTCATTTTGTCTCTGTTGTGAATGATCAAATCTGAATTAAAATTTATCTTTTGCAAAATTTGAAATGATGAATTGGCAGGAACCCTCATTTCTGAGTTCATCTACCAGACATTTTCATATGATCAAAACAACATTTTGGGGGTAGGTAGAGCACTACTTTTGTAAATAGATTTCTTATCCAGAATTCCATATTACCTGCAAGACATACAAAGGAATTTATACTTGGTAATATAAGCAGAGATAAACATTTGTGTCTTTCTTTTGCACTCTTCAACACAATTTTGTTTTTATGAAAGAAAGTTTATCAAGAGCTTTACCTTACCTGCAAGATAAGTTTATAAATAACAAAGTATATGCAGATATTACCGTAATGCTTGTGTTCACTTTGATACATTGTACATGTTTATGTATAGCACAGAGGAATATTTTAACATGTTTCTTTTCATTGAAATACATTTCTAATTGTATGTACTGCTCTTTTCCCTTTTTGCAATCTGTTGCGCTGATGTGACATGGATGAGAGAGAAGAGGAAAGGGAAAGGGAGGATCATATCTGTTTAGAGCCAGAAGGTTGTCAACTCAATACATGCCATGCCATGCCCTTCTGGCTTCAAACAGGGCGTGGGGGCAAATGATAGAAGGGAAGATTGATCTAGAGAATGAGAGGGGAGAGAAAGGGAGTAGTGAAAGAGAGGCACTGAGGAATTGAAAGAGTGAACAAAAGAAAGATAAAGGGATGGAGAGTAAGAAAGATATGGATGGAGATTGTGACTTGACAGAAGAGTACATACATTTTCAGTGTATAGAAAAACGTTTTAATTAAAACGTTCAATTAAAAGGTCCAAATATCTGGATACATCCAAATACCTAATACATCTATACAAATATAGAGATGAAGTTAGAAAAAATGAATAGGAAATTAATGCTAAACAAAGACATACACACAAAAGAAAAAATGAAGAAACCCAGTGTCTAAAATCTCATAAAAAGAATTTCTTCACGTTTTATACACACTTTCTACATGCAATACAGAAAGTAACAGTCCTCATAAAAATAATAGTTATAATAAGAAGGTAAACTTTTAATGCATAGTGAAGCAAAGTGCCTCCCAGAAGAGAGCTAGGGCAACACTGCCAAAATTACAATGTTACATAAGACACAGTATAAAATTCCTCATGTTTTCTAGCACACATCAATATTTCATATCTAAACATTTTAATGTGGAATAACATGAAATTTCATAATAAAAATTACCCATAAAATATCACACACAAAACCAAGAAGAATAAATATATATTTTCTTTCAGTCTACTAAACTTTTGGAACATTTCTTCCTGAACTGCATAGAATGACTTCATAAATATTGGCAAACATTTTGTAAACTGACAAATGGGCAAGGAGCTTAATTATCATAACCAAGTGCAATACATGTATTTTCTTGAGTCATATTCTAACAAACTTTGTGAGACCAATAACATTTTGTTGTTACATTAAAATCTTGTCATATAAAATAGCACAGAATACAGAGTAACCCCGTTCAGATATGAAACGGCAAAACTGCAGCATTTTTTACAAATGATGACATAGAGTAATATGCTTCACAGTTCTGTTTCCTTCGATACAGAGCTAAGTGAAAAAGCATAGGACCTTTTTTGGGAGCAGTTGCCATTCATTTACTTAAAAAAAATAAAATTAAAAAAAAAAAAATTTTTTTTGTGGTGGTCTACAGCATCAAGTCTGAATGAGCCTTTGGTATATCAAACTCCTTTGGACCAACAAAATAACCTTGTTATAATGAACCCTTGTTATCTCAGGAAGTAAAGAAATAAACTAAAAAAAGTTGGAACAACAAATTTACCTGAAGGAAAATACAGTCAACCAGTGCTGTTTTATCATTTATAGAAGGGAACTTCATGTAAAAGAAACCTAGAGTTAAAAACAAAACCAGTATAAAACGGCTAAACTCACAAATACATACTTCCTACTTCCTGAAGACAACAGTGAGCAAGAAAGGTTAGTTCTTGGCAAGTCAAAATCTGCTAGTGAATATTCATTCAATTTTTCCCTCACAAGCTGCTGTATGAGCTATTTATTTAAATTGTTACTCGTGCACCATAATGGAAGCTATGTATTCAAATTTTGCTAATTGATTATGTTAAAACAAGAAGTTACTTCTTGGTTAAAGTGACTAGGTAACATTGTTGAAGGTTGATGCAAAAACTGCATAATTTTTGTAAGAAATGTTACTTACTATATACCTTCTACTGTAGGCCTACTAACCCTCTAAAATGCAAACAATCCTGAAAAAATTCTCAAACCACAAAGATATTTATTGTCTTTGAAGTCGTCACTGCGACACCCTCTAATAGTAAATTCTCCCAACCGTTTCTCCATGAAAATAAGACATAAAACATGCTATCAAAAATCTGTCAACACTTAAATGTCTGGAATGGTATTTAGAGCCAATTCATTACTTTGTGAAGATTTTAATTATCCTAAAATGTAATTATTTTTGTAATAATAAAGTTGGGAGAATTTAGGAATCGATCAGATCAGTTTTTCCCAATTGTTATCGTTAATAGAGATCTGTTTTTCACTCAAACTTTCAGATTATCTTTATTTGTACATCTAGCATTGAAGTCACTACCTTAGCACCATTTGGGGCCTGTCACCACGAAATGAGTCCAGTTGGTCAAAAATTGTATTCCTGTTTTTAAGTATTATATGAATCTACATTAAGTAAGCTTTAAATTAAGGGGTCACACATTAAAATTGATAAATTATATCCAGAAATATGAACAAAAACCTAATTGGACTTTATAAACAATGGGATTACCCAGTTTTGAGAAATGCATCATTTTCGTGATAATTTCAGATTACATAGCCTATATTATTTGCCAAAAAATATTAGAAGGAGATATTTTCGTGATCTAAGCTCTGGGGACATAAACTACAAGACATTAATAAGTCGATTTTTGGAAAAATCTTAAATGTGGTAGGTGGGTCAATTTTCAGTACATACACACATTACTACGATTGAGCCTAATGCGACACTGGACTCATTTCGTGGTGACTGGCCCCATTTCCTCTCATCTGAACAATGTTACAAAGTCCCTTCAATAATGGTCCGTTTTCACTCAAACTTTCAGATTATCTTTATTTGTACATCTAGCATTGAAGTCACTACCTTAGCACCATTTCCTCTCATCTGAACAATGTTACTAAGTCCCTTCAATAATGGTCTGTTTTCACTCAAACTTTCAGATTATCTTTATTTGTACATCTAGCATTGAAGTCACTACCTCAGCACCATTTTCTCTCATCTGAACCATGTTACAGAGTCCCTTTAAGGCACAAAGACAGTGAAAAAAGTGGTATTGTCAATGGCAGTTGCAGCATCCTTGCATGCAGCTGACGGCATATATACTTTAATATAAATGTAGATCTATTTAGGATTAAAATAAAACAAACTCCCATACATACCCTGAACTATGACCCCTATTCTCTTCCACACAATTTGGAGGTAGTTCAATCTCAAATAGTTTGATAAGGTTTTCTCTCATTGGATGATCTCTCAAATAAACCCTACCCGGGTCACCGATTAAAATCCGACTGTTGTGTTTCCTGATCAAACAGATCAGCCAATCAACGACCATGTTAGTAAAGTCTTTATCATAGAACATGTCACCGAGAAACACCACATCCCATTGGTTGTCTTTTAAGCATGGCTGGCTTATCAAGTTCTGGGCACTTGTGTCCAATGTGATACCGTTGAGGGCAGCATTTATTTCAATAGCTTGGATTGCAACTGCAAAGAAAGAGATGAAGGAAGAGAAATTAATAATAAACGATGTTTTTTTTAAATCATTCTTATAGAGATATTACTACTGAATTATCCTTGTGGTTGTTATATGAATAAGAATGGTAGGACTAGTCATCTGTCATACTTAAAGCCCCTCTAAAGTGTTGGGAGCCCAAAATTTCACTCAAGTCGTATCATAATTTGAAAGAGGATGTAATTTATTAGACACACTGCAAAGATCAACCGCCCAAAATTGTGTTTGAAGACAAATATTGATTTTCTGTTGTACGTATTCTTTCATCAATATTCAACTTCAAACACATTTTTTTTTGAAAATCTTGAATTACATCCTCTTTCACATTATGATACAATTTAAGTAATATTACAATATTTTGTCCTTGGTCACAGCTGCAAATAAGAGCTGCATATAGCTGTAGAAATAACAGGAAGCAAACTACGACTTGGTGAAGTAAAAATGAGTATGATAATGAACTTGATAAGTCTTGTTTCCTATCCGATTGTGGAGCAACCTGCGTGCAATGCATTTTCATTAATGCACTTTCAAACATAAATTATCTGTAGTACTGTCACTCACCAGGATCAATATCATTGGCCAGTACTCTGCTAGCTCCTGCCATACGCGCTGCTATAGCTGAAGCACCACACCCTGATCCTACGTCTAATACAGATCTGCCTTTAATTAACTTGGGATGATCCAAGATATACCTGTGTATATCAGAAAGATTTATTGAAGCTGTAAGGCTAGGGATGAGAATAATATTTCTATACCTGCAGTAGTGATTATCAAGATTCCATTTATTTATTGTGCGAGCTATGAGAGATTCTTTCTCTTCTTCTTATCCTTCTACATTGAACCCTCAACTTGTAAGAGCCAGGCCAGTAGAAGTCTCATAATGAGTACTACAGTGAATCACACTGTATGAGACATTATTTTTCCTTCTTTTGTCCTTCTCCTCCCCCCCCCTTTTTTTTGTGCTTCTCCTCTCCTTTTTCCCCCTTTCTTCTCCTGCTCCTCCTCTTCTTCTCCCTCTCCTTTGTCTTAAACCCTCTCCTCCAGGTATAATTGATAATGGGGTATGTGCATGTGGACCACTATACCCCCTCTCTCCCTGTTTATTTCTCTTACCATAAGTTCCACATGTATAACCAATAGCAGCACTCACAGACTGAGTAAATAATCCTCTTTTTCTTTTTCTACATTGAAGCCTCGCCCTCACCTTGTAAGAGCTTGACCACCAGGCCAATAGAAGGCCCAGAATGGGTCAGTGAATGGACACTGGTCAGTGGTCTCGTGCCACAAGGGGCATTCTCTGGTAATTAGTCTCAATTCTATCTCTGGAGTGAGGTGATCTCTGGTGGCTTGTGTGTGTCTGGTGATGTCTGGGGGAGGCGTGGCTGGGATGCTGCCTTTGGTGTGCTTGGAACCCTTGAAGTGAGCAGCACAACTCTTGTCCGTATGTCTGGAGTAAGGTGTCCTACCAGGTGCAGTGGAAAATCTAAAGAATCCGCCAAGCGTAAAGTGTCATTATGGTCATTAAAGTATATAATTTACAGCAGAATATGACAAACTAAGAACATGTACTTTCTGTTATTAAAAGGCCCCTTTAATCACAATAGTTTATATTTTTTAATTTTGGTGCAACTTAAATTGTGTTCAAATGTACATTGTATTATGATGCATTTAAAAAGGGAAAGAAAATCAACTAGAATGGAAAACATTAAACTAGAAGAAACTAATGTCTTTAGTAATGACTTAAGAAATCAAGGAACAGGGTAAGAAACAGAATGCGAACAGGTGGTAAATATATGATTTTAAAGAAATAAAGTGCAAAAGAAATGTGGAAATAAATGATTAGAACTGCTGCCGGAAAGGTGGAGATGAAAAAAAAAAAATAGAAGGGAAAACGAAGATAGAATCTGAAATGAGAGAAACAAAGTATAACTAGACTCTACATAATAAGAGGACAGAAAAGATGGAGTAAGTTACCAAGAACAGGACAGAATCACACCCCCCTTAAATGTAAAAATCTTCTTGCCTTGCGCTGGATAGCTCGGCAACCAAGTATCCTTTGAGGTTGAAGTTCTGTTCCTGTTTCCATCTCTTAGACAGCAGCAGCTCTTGTTTACGAAGTGGTGACAGGAACTGGTTGCTCACACGATTGGCTAGTCTGCTCAAAGATCTCATTGTGCCTCTCCTCAGGCTCTTGTCAGACTGATATTGGGTTGGACCATTCTAAACACCACGACAAGACTGAACCTGCAGTTAGACAGGAAATGAAGGTCATCAATTGTCACCAAGTCTAAAGTACCGATTTTGAGTGAAATCAGTTGAGTTTTGTACGGTGGTGTTTGAAATGTTGAGAATCAAAAGAAGAGCTTTTAATACACAGCCACAATGCAGCTATATCTGTATAGGGTCTATGTAATGTATGGCTCTATATCGAATTGGAAGGTCTGAATTGAATACTCGAAAGGGAACGTGTGGGACTGAACGTATACACTAGTCACTATGTCTCTAGTAGTAGGCCTAGCCTAGTAGGGCCTACCCTGTTAAATAAAAATACATTTGACCGATTCACGTCACCGGCAACATTTCTGCTCGTGGTCGTAGGTCTGTTTACTCACCTAGCTAGCTAGTTTAAACGAATTAGTCGTTCCTTTAAACTGGAGACACCCACCAATAATGGAGGCTACAGTGTCTCCAACTCGTACAAGAGAAAAATAATTTTTTTTTTTGCACGTCCCATCTGCCCGGCCCCCGGGCCCCACTCAGAGGTCGGAATGACCGCATGCGTGTTGCCAAAATGTCCGGTAAAGGGGTACTTTTCGTGCGACAAAGTCCGGCCCGAGAATTGTAAAAAAAGGGGTGTATTTGACTTTTCAACCGGAGATTTCTTTAAAAAGGGGGTGTTTTTCTTTTTTTCTCTGATCTCTTTGGACTCCTGAGAAATTATTCCGAATTTAGGGGGGTACATTGAGCATTTTTCCTGATTTAGGGGGGTCTCCAAGCAGTGGCGGATCCAGGGGGGGGGGGGGGGGGCCCGGGGGGCCCGGGCCCCCCCCCTTGAGAAAAAAATCATGTAAAATCACGTGATTTTTACCTTTTTTGGGGGTTGGGCCCCCCCCCCCCCCTGGCGCTCAAGGGGGGGGGGTGCAAATTGAATTTTTTTTTGAGGATCAAAAAAAAAAAATGTGCTCACTACCCCCCCCCCCCCCCCCCCCCCCCCCCCCCCCCCACTGAGCGAATTTTTGGCCGGCACGTTTTTCAAATTTTCGGGAGAAAAAAAAAAAAAAAAAAAAAAAAAAAAATTGCTCTGTACCCCCCCCCCCCCCCCCCCCCCCCCCCCCCCCCCACTGAGCGACTTTTCGGCCGGCGCGATTTTCAAATTTTCGGGAGCAAAAAAAATTAAAAGTTGGGCCCCCTCCCCTAAGAAATCCTGGATCCGCGCCTGTCTCCAAGGCAGGAAAAGCCCGCGAAAAGCCCGCGAAAGGGGGGTTCTGAAATGTTGGCAGTCCTCAGATAGGGGGTGCTTTCAAAAAGAGGGTACGAGCATATGCGTACCCTAAATAACACTGAGGGGGGGGGGGGGGCTCATCTGTCGGTAACGGCAACAGAAGTAACTAATTAGAGATTACATTTGGATGTTTTTTTATACTATCTTTTGGCATTTTAACTAAATAATGGCCTACATATTTTTGAAGCTGTAAACCTGTTCGTTACTCTCATATTATGTCACATGCCGTAACTTCTTGTTTGGGTCTTATTGTTTCAGATTAAATTAGGACTCAAAACAGCATGTCGGAAGGCTTATCCGCTCAATACAGAATATCCGCTAAATACTACTGGCCACTAATACGTTTTCAACTTTAGAGGCTTCTATGTATAGAATAACCGCACAATTATGGTTACATGTCGTTTTTCCGAAGGCTCGTATTTTCGAAGGTTCATAATTCCGAAGGTCCGTAATTCAGGTTCCTTAATATTCCGAACGCTCGTTACTCCGAAGGTTCGTTATTTCGAAGGTTCGTATCAGTTCCGAAAATGAAATAGGGTTCATAATTCCGAAAACGATTTAGGGTTCGTAATTCAATTTCTTCTCTTTCTATATCTCTCATTATGTTATTCTTTGTTTTTATTTTGCTATCATTTCCTCTTTCTATCTATATATATAGCATAACATCAGCGTAGACAACGGGGGGGGGGGGGGGGGGATGAGGGGGATGCATCCCCCCCCCCATGCACCTCACAAGGTGGGGGGATGGCATGTACAATCATCCCCCCAGGTTTTGGGGAATGATATTTGCTTACTTAATAAGTCATAATGATGATAATAATAGTAATAATAATAATGATAACAATTATAATATTAATAATAATAATAATTATGATGATGATAATAATAATCCTCATCATTATTGTAATTGTGTTTAGTTGTATTTAGCCGCATTCACACGGTGAAAGCCAATTCAGACGGTAAAAAAGTATTTTGTGGTTATCTATTGTGGTTTGGAAACCACAAGATAACCACAAGATTAAACAGGCGCGGATCTACGGGGGGGGGGGGGTCCCCTTGGGCGGCCCAAAAAACAAACAAAAAGAAAAAAGGAAAAAAAAAAAAAAAAAAAGAAAGAAAAAAGAACGCACGCTGGAGAGAAACCCTTTCAAGTGCAAATATTGTGAGAAGATATTCAACTCATCTGGTAACTTAACCAAACACATGATAACTCTGGATATAACTGTGTATTTAACTGTTACTTGATTTAAAAAGACGTTATCATGCACTGCTTTTTATGGTCTCCATTGTGTTAATAGATGCCAGGAAAACATCACTTACGGGGTTCAAATAAACACCCCCCAAAAAATCGGCTCGCCGCTTCGCAGCTCGTGGACGATGCTCCGCATCGTCATTATTGGTCAACCCCCCCTTAGCAAAAAGCTAGATCCGCCCCTGAGTCATCCCCTAAGGTGTACGAACCTGTCTACGCCACTGCATAAAATAGATAAATAGCTAGATTATTTGGCGGCCGCCAGTTTCCATAATTATGTTATGTTCCTTTCCTTCTATCGTGGTCTCTTAAAGCATGAATGAATAGTAGGTATTGCCTGGGACATGGGTAATCAGGCTAAACATGAAGAGAAAATATTAAAAAATATTCATTTTCTAATAATATTCTTAACAGGTTAAGGTATGATTCAAACTTCAAAGCCCAAGCAATGTTAGATTCAGGGGCGTCGCCAAAGGGGGGGGGGGGGGTGCGGCACCCCCACCAGTCAGGATATTGTCGGTAAAATTGCGCTGCCGTCGGGAAAAAGAGAAAAGCGGGAGGGAAAAAAGAGAGGGAAAAAAAGAGGGAAAGGGAAAGAAAAAAAAAAGAAAAGAAAAGAAAGAAAGGAAAAGAAAGGAAAGAAAGGAAAAGAAAAAAAAAAAGAAAAGAAAAGAAAGAAAGGCAAAGAAAGGAAAGAAAGGAAAAGAAAGGAAAGAAAAGAGAAGAAAGAAAGAGAAAAAGAAAAAGAGGGAGGAGAGGCAAGAAAGGAAAAGAAAGAAAAGAAAGAAAAGGAAAAAAGAAGAAAAAAGAGTGAAAGGGAAACAAAAGAAACGGGGATGAAAGAGAGGAGAGAGAGGGGAGGTAAGAGTCTGAGAGAGAAGGAGTGGGAGTAAAAGAGAGAAGGGGGTTGTTGGGTGGAGTCGTCTCGTCGAGGGAACAAGAAAGACACAGGTAAATATGTTGCTGTGTCGGGTCAGCTGTGTCGGTATTCTTGCTCGATCCTCGTGTACTATATCAATGCAGAAGTTTGAAGTCGGTGAGATGTATATTGTCGGTCGGCCGACAAGTTTTTTTTCCCCTACGAACTGTGACTTCTTATCCGCTTTGACGACTTCGAGAGTGACTACAACTACAATACTTGTATTTTCTCGAAGTTTCACTTTCCTATAATATCAGCTAAAGAAATCAGAGGTTTAAAATTTTCGGGGAAACTAAATTCAATTAAAGTTTAAGAGTCAACAACGGTACGACGAATCGTCTTCCTTTCTTTATATTGTGATGAAACGCCAAAAATTCCGCGCTTCGCGCGAAGGGGAAACTTCATTTAGACGAATCGAGAACGGTAAAATGAATCGTCTTCTTTCTCTAATAATTTAAGGAAACGTCAAAGCTTCCGCGCTTTGCGCGAGAGGGGGAAACTGAATTCAGATGAATAGGGCTTAATAAGATTCGAAAACGGTACGATGAATCGTCCTCCTTTCTCTATATTGTGATGAAACGCCAAAAATTCCGCGCTTCGCACGGAAGGGGAAAACTTCATTTAGGCGAGTCGAGAACGGTACGACGAATCGTCTTCTTTCTCTAATAACTTAAGGAAACATTATAGCTTCTGCGCTTCGTGCGAGAGGGGGAAACTGAATTCAGACAAAATAAATAGGGCGTATTTAGAGTCGAAAACGGTACAACGAATCGTGTTCTTTCTATAATAATTAAAGGAAACGTCAAAGGTTTCGAGCTTCGTGCGAGAGGAGGAAACTGAATTCAGATGAATAGGGCTTAATAAGAGTCGAAAACGGTACGATGAATCGTCTTCCTTTCTCTATATTGTGATGAAACGCCAAAAATTCCGCGCTTCGCGCGGAAGAGGAATACTTCATTTAGACGAGTCGAGAACGGTATACAACGAACCGTCTTCTTTCTCTAATAATTTAAGGAAACGTCGAGGCTTCCGCGCTTCGCGCGAGAGGGGGAAACTGCATTCAGACAAAATAATGGGGCTTATTTAGAGTCGAAAACAGTACAACGAATCGTGTTCTTTCTCTAATAATTAAAGGAAACTTCGAAGCTTCCGCGCTTCGCGCGAGAGGGGGAAACTGAATTCAGACAAAATTAAAAGGTACAACGAATCGTGTTCTTTCTCTAATAAAATGAGGAAACGTCAAAGCTTTCGCGCTTTGCGCGAGAGGGGGAAACTGATTCAGATGAATAGGGCTTATTAAGAGTCGAAAACGGTCCGACGAATCGTCTTCTTTCTCTAATAATTTAATAAAACGTCAAAATTTCCGCGCTTCGCGCGGGAGGGGGAAGACTTCATTTAGACGAGTCAAGAACGGTATACAACGAATCGTCTTCTTTCTCTAATAATTTAAGGAAACGTCGAGGCTTCCGCGCTTCGCGCGAGAGGGGGAAACTGCATTC